TAATGGTAATAATATAAACTGTTTCTGGTTAATTTCAAGCAATGGAAAATTCTGAGAATTTTGCTAGCCAGAAAGGTGCAGGGGGGGGGGGAGAGGCCATAACACAGAGAAAGCAGAATCCATTTGCATTTTATCTTTAACATTATTGATAAATTACATTTCGGTCCACTTTTGTACTGAACTTTCAAATATCCATAAATACAGCATTTAAAATCCTTAATTTTGAAGGGCCGTTTAATCCAGATAATTTAAATTTATGGGAATGTTGTCTGTATTCTGTTCTTTTCCTTTATCTTGTTAAATACTGTACTCTCAATTAACTGAGTAAATTTCATGTCATCAGAAGTCTTAACTAAATTTTCTACTATAAGGAGACAAAAAATAAATGTGCTATAGTTGAAGGTCTGTATTTCCTGTGGGTTTTAGCAGGTATTGCACAGATGGTAATATAGCAAGTTACTTGAGATGTTAACTAATTTACCTGAAGATTAATATATCAAGTTACTTTGATGTTAACTAATTAATTTGAAGATATCAGTCAATATTGACAAGATACCAGGAAATAGTCTGAAAGCATAGAATATTTCCAAAAGTCTCAGTAATAGTTGAAATAATCACAAGCACATTTCAGAAGCTTCCTAAGGAACTGGAGTTAGCCTTTCAATAAACATCTTGCCCAAATGATGTCCCTCTCAGCTGTTCCAATGGAGAAGAAGAGAAGCCTGCAGGAGCTCTCCACACCCAAAGTTAAGGAAGTTCAGATGGAGGAACTTAAAACTAGTTTCTGTCTAATATACCTTTAAACTCATGAACTTGGCTAGTAATATCTATCTTTGAAAGGTCCTTGATAAACACTTCAACAATTCAGTTACTTTGTTTCAGGTTATGATAAATTAAGATAAGTATTCACTTTATTTTCATGTTTCTTTCCTGATTATATTAACCACCTGAACTTTCGGAACATTCATTTATTGTCTCTTGAATTTACTCTTAAAGTTCAATTTCCCACTTTCCTAAACGATGAGTTTCCACAGACAAGACACTTGACTTTAGGCAAGGTTTGAGTTCTCTATCTGATCCATCTTCTCTGAAGCCCGAAAAACGTTTCCATCACATGTTCATCATATCATATTAGCAAGCAGTATAAACAATACAAACAATACAACCAAGGTTGCTTTCTCTTAAGCTCCTTAAAGTTCTCTCTTTCCTATTCTGGAGATGAAACTAAAGCAGGTGAACTAGCATTTTGTCATTGTCACCCTTTATCAATATTTCTATGAGATAAAAGGCCACAATGAAGCAAAGGTTAATAATGAACTATTTAGGCTTCAAGCCTAGAGTAGGAACAAGCAGAAACTTTGAATTAGAACATCAGTCTATGTTTTTCTAACATCCACAGCAATTCTTCTGGATGGCAACTAAAGAAAGGGAAGTCTTGGTACTTCTAATAGGCATGTAAATTTGTAGCTACACTTCCTGACTGATAAATAAAATAAAACGCATTTTATAAAGCCAAATCAATGTAATATTGTTCCTTAAAATGGCAATGCTTTCACCTAGGATAAGCAGTTTGAAGATGTGAGCCTAGATGTTCCGATTCAAGCTAATAAGATAAAGAAGCAGTTAAGCATGGATGGTGTAATATGTTCTGGATTTGTCTCTGAATCTATTCTAGGTGGCATTATGAAGTCGTGTTCGTATAGGTCATTCTGTGAGCGAGCGCGGAGGGAAGGTTCACGGGCACCTGGAGTGAGTGTCCACTGCTGCTATTCAAATAATTGCAATGCCAAAGGCCTGGGCACAAGACATATTCCCTCCTCTGGCTACTTCTCTTTACTTCTTTCTGCTCTCTTGTGGCACTTCTTTTTTTAACCTGGAATGGAATTTGAACAGGAACGGAAGATGGAAAGGAAGCTACTCAACCAGAGCGACAATACTGTATTTGAAGGATTGATATCAGGAAACCCAAACGAGCACTCCTATGACTATAGGACATTACATTTCAAAAAAAATCAGCGGCAGTTAAAGATGTTGGTTGGAGCAGAGGGCACAGAAAAGCAGACATAAACCCTGAAACAGTTCGGTCTCAATCCTATGTATTTTCAGTCATTGAGTATTTCAAAGCTATTGTTTTAACCAGATGTGTTTCAACCATATTGTTGGTTTTAATATGATTCTATATTGGGATAATGCGAGAGCAGGTTTGGGGAGACCGGCAAATGGCATTGTACCTGTGATGCTAAGTAACATAAACTTATAATATTAAACCGAAGAAGCACAGGATTAGCACAGATTAATAATGGTTAATGTGACAGTTTTATGTTTTTAATCACGAAGGTGAACCACTTTGGGAAAGCTTGCCCTGAAATGTAATATAAAAATACTGGAAACAGATAATCTAGTTAGAAGAGTTAGTTTTGTCCATAAGAAAAGCCCATGAGCTGAATCAATGTGTAAACTGGGCTGGGCTGATAAGCCCAATTTTTCACCAACATTATGTGCACCATCATTCCCCCCTCCTCACTTGTTAATTCAGCATGTGAGCATTTCTCATGAACTGGGCTTTATTTGGCAATTAATCCCACAAACAAGCAAAACATAGCTGCCAAGAGCAGCCTTGTAATGATGTATGTGCAGCTTTACAATCTGACAATGCTGAAGAGCCTCTTGTGTGACCAGCAATGTCATGAAATTTGCTTATGGAACAATAGAGCTTAGCAATCCTCCTCCAGGAACTCTTTCTCAAGGAACTCTCCTAACAGGAACTCTTTGTGATGAATGGTTTATTGGAGAGGAAATAAACAAAGCGATTTGAAAAGATACCTAAGGCCTGATTTTATAGAGTTAGTTGAGTAGCTTTGGTACCATTCTGCATATTTCACAGCAGACTGTTGGAAAATCAAGTCCTTAAAATGGCCTTGTGGCACTGGATGGATATTACGAAAACATGATGGGCAAAGGGAGTACAGCTTTATCTAGGATGATCCCTAGGGTAGAAACTGCAAATCCAGATTAAGCAATGACACAGTTTCTGGTCACTAGGCTTCTTAGGTTGCATTCCTATACCTACCTACCTGGGAGTAAGTCTTATTAAATCCAATAGGACTTGCTTCTGAGTAGACATTAAGAACATAAGAAGAGCCTGTTGAATCAGGCCAATGGCCCACCTAGTCCAGCCTCCTGTTCTCACAGCAACCAACCAGATGCCTGACTCAAGCACAAGATCACTCTCCCCTCCCTCATAGGGAAGATCTAGCTCTATGTATAGAGTTGTGCTTGTGAACAGACCTACCAGTTACCTTGTGTGCCCCTATGATTAGCCCACAGCTATTTATTAAAGCTTTTGATCGTTGACTCCTTTTGACATGGTTTCATTGTGTTGTGTGTATTGGCCGCCATGCTTCCCTTTGGATAGAGTTCTACATGAAGGCACATCTGTACTGAAGCGTTAACTTTATGCCTATGTATATTATTGTTTATGGTGGAAATAAATGTGTTCTCTAAATAGAAATGAAATGTAGCTGTACAGTTTCTGACCTGGGAATGCTAATAATTGCATGGCTTCTGCTACCTAGAGTACTCCTAAACCAAACTGCCCTGGAGGTCTAACCCTCCTAGTGATAATGTATTTTCTAATTTTATTTACACAAAAATGTATAGACCACGCACAGATATAAGATATCAAGCTAAGGTACAACAGAATATGCAGCTCAACAGAACATAAATTACTCATTAAAATGACAGACTCATCTTTTAAAAGTTTATTAAACTGAGGAGGCCTGTCAGCCTAAGAGATGCCTGGAAATTTTAGGATGCTTGCTGAATCTCTGACGGAAGAGTATCAGAGTTGTTTGGCTAAGAAAGATCCCAACCTCCACCACCCAACCTCAGATTCTTAGAAGGTGCTCTTTCCAGTGCAAAAGGAAGGAACCTTCCAGAGGAAGGTGATCTTCTGTTGCCTCAGGTGAGCCTCCACAGTACAAGGCAAAATTCGTGTGAAAATCGGCTGTCTTGGGCCACTCAGATAGCAGTCATTGGTCAATGTAATAGGTTGCTGGGAACAGAAGCCGATTTGACTAGAGCTGGTACTCCAATGTGGTGAACTTGTTCCAACAAAGGTCAGAGCTAGAAGGGACTGAATTCTCTCTGTAAGAAGTGCCCCATGCTCTGAAACAGGTACTCTGGCAAGTAGGACTATGAGACTGTAGTCCCTGGGGCAGACATCTAAGGAGGCTTGGTTGGCCGCTTGGATGCACATGCTTACTGGGTCTAGAATTTAAGTTGGGAGATGCCACACTGTCCTGAACCCCTGGTCCACCTGGCAGCAAGTCACTATATCAAGTCCCCAGTTCAGGGTCAATCTACATGCCCAAAGTCCTGCAGATATCCTGGTGCATCCAAGCTGAGTTCCATCAACATGGACAGTTGAGTAGACCCAGCACCTCATCTCTGCTGCCCTTTTGTACTTTGCATGCTGATTGCAGCATCTGGGCTTCATGAGACCTGTGATCCTCACCTGTTCTGAGCCTACTCCAGCTGAGGAATCACACACCTTGCCTGCCTCAGCCTCCTGGAGTGCCCTGCCCGCTGCTCCCTACACCTCAGAGCCCACCGTGTTCATGGAGACAGGGGCCCCTCTGGCTCTGGTGATGGGTCCTCTTGTTCTGGTTCCTGTGCACTGACCCCCACCCCCTCCATCATCCCATGAGTACTTCCTACATCAACTCCTCCTTCCCCAATCTCCAGCTTGCCGCAGTGTGTCCCAGTCCCAGCTACACCTTTTGCTGGGATCGTCTTCCTCCTCCCCAGCCAGTTCGTGACAACATACTTCCCTCTGAAAGGTATTTCTTTGCAGACACTTTCCCCTAGTTTTGATCCAGAAATGAAGATATCCTAGGGCCGTATTGTGATGCCACAGTTGTAATGAGATGACATAACAGTGTTCTGTATGTATGCAGACATTGCCACTTGTTGCTGCTTTTGAGGGCCTGAAGTCATGCTTTTTCTGGGAGAAAGGTGGAAGGGATATGGGAAGGAATTTATAAGCCTTCTTTCAGCAGCCCCTAATCATCTCTCACTGAGTCTTGACAGGAATCTAGAGCAGCATTCCTGAACATGGCCACAAAAATGACTCGCTACAAGCGTCTCAATGGGAAAACCCGACATTCCCTGGAATTGCTTCAGCTAACTTCTTTTGTTCCTGAAACACCTGCTTTAGATAATAAAGAACACCTGTAAGTAGTGGCTAACGTTTTGAGAGATGTATCTGAAGTGCTTTTTTCTGGGGGTCCTCAAAGGTATGTGGTACTGGCACCTTCTTTTCTAGAAGAAAAGCACTGGTTAAAAGTGTGGCGTTTACTGTAAAAACATCATGGTGAGTACTGGCACCTATTTTTTCTAGAAGAAAAGCACTGCGTATTTATAATGAGTAGTATTACTGAATGGTGAAGGGAAAGAGCTAAAGAGACCTCTTTAGCTTCTAGATTCCAGAACGTGTGATGCATTCTAGAAGGGATGGGCTGTGTTCTAAAAGGAAGTGGGGCGACAGCATGTCATTGGCTACTGCTGTTTACTCAGATTACGATTATTTTATTTTACTAGATTTATTAGTCACTAGTTACCATGGTCTCCAACTGTCATTTAAAAAATAAAAAAAGATTACACCAATAAAAATTCATATAAAACATTAACATTCTCATACAAACACCTACAATTCATGCTTACAGAAAACAATGCCACCATTGCCATAAAAGCCAAAGGAAGTTTGGGCAGCCCACCAGGAGTTACCCCTACCAAAAACTAAGATAAAGGGCAAGTCGAGAAAAGAAAAGGAAGGGAAATAGTGACTTACTTTTTTTCTATATACACATGAAAGAAAAGAATCAGACTCCTCCTTGAAAAAGGGACAATGTGACATTAGGAACATTTTAGTTTTGTCTTTGTGCTCTTCCTGAATGCATACAAAATTGATGCTGTCTTTTTCACCTCCAGTTACCTGCTCTCAGCTCCCTATGTGTCTCTGGGAGGACTCTCGCCAAATGAGGAGAAAGCTAAGGTAGGTGTGTGGGTGTTTATGATAGCTTTGGATGACTAAGATTTCGAGAGCAGAACAAAGCTGCTGGCTAGCCAATCTAAGCTACTGGTTTAACTTACTTTACAGGTCTGTGTATTGTAAAATCTATGGACTTTGGCTTACAACTCTAATGAAACAACACAGATAACCGTAGTCTTGCTAGAGCATACTACAGACAATACTTCGGGCTCATCATCACCTCCCAGGTTCTTTGCCGGGCTGGCCCAAGACATTTTGCTGCATGAGGCAGAGTGCCAAATGGTGCCACATCCTTCTTCCAAGTCACAGCACAGAGCCAGCCAAGTTATTATGATATTTAAGGCAGAGAATCCCACAATGTTCTCTGCCCCCGGTTCCATTCCCACCAGTAGCATAGCATCTCTTCCTCCCCTATGTTCATTTGAGATTTTCCTGACATGCCTTTGGCCTCCTCCACTGCTTCCTTCAGGTTCCTGTTTCTTAATCCACAGCCTCCTTCCCACTTGTGACTGTGTGACTGTGTGACTGTGCTTCTCATCTTTCCTTCCACCCAGCTGCTTACAGCCTCTGCTGATCTGAAGTCCTCTGTGAAGTTTGACCTGGTCAAATTGGTCTTTCAGTTCCTCTCGCACTGACTGTTGTGTGGGGTAATCATATTTTATACATGACCTTTCACCTTTAGAAATGAGAATGTTTCTTAACATTCTGCAACTTCACATAAAAGTCATTCCATTGGTGGGCTGACGTAAACACAGACTGCATATGGGAGATACAGTGCTAACCTTTGAGGAGATACCAGGTTAAAATTTCCGGAGAAAACCCCCAATTGATAGCCATTTCAGCTGACTGACTGATCAAAATCTGGCAGTTTGAGGAGTGCATTGCATGGTGAGTTATTTTGTTTTTTTGGTGGGGGTAGACATTGAAATGGCAACACCACAAGGACAATAAATTATGCTGCAGCAGATAAAAAAATGGACTGAAGACAGGTTTGTGATACTTCTTGTCCCTACCCCAAATTTTCATCAAAAAAATCCATGTAGAACTTTACCAGCTCAGTGGTGGGTGGATGAGTTATTTGGGGGCCTTCTCAGTTTGGGGGCCTTCTCAGATTTTAAAAGAAAGAAAGAGACCAATATAATATTAATTCTACAAAGCAGAGGTGTGCTTGTTGATATCACCTGGGAAATTGTACAAGTCCCATTGAAACTCTTTTAAAAAAGGTAAAGGTACCCCTGCCCGTACGGGCCAGTCTTGACAGACTCTAGGGTTGTGCGCCCATCTCACTTAAGAGGCCAGGGGCCAGTGCTGTCCGGAGACACTTCCGGGTCACGTGGCCAGCGTGACAAGCTGCATCTGGCGAGCCAGCGCAGCACACGGAACGCCGTTTACCTTCCCGCTAGTAAGCGGTCCCTATTTATCTACTTGCACCCGGGGGTGCTTTCGAACTGCTAGGTTGGCAGGCGCTGGGACCGAGCAACGGGAGCGCACCCTGCCGTGGGGATTCGAACTGCCAACCTTTCAATTGGCAAGTCCTAGGTGCTGAGGCTTTTTAGCTCCCTTCAAAACTCTTCCACTCTTTGGGCAATATTTTGGCGTCAAATTTAGGTGAAAGTTGTACTTTTGAACATGATCACTTACTGAAGTATAGGCAGCAGCTTGATTTGATATCTCTTTCAGCTGTGTGGGCTCTCAGCCTGGATACTAGTAGTAATTCGTCTCATTCTTCCTATTCCTCTAATGTATCTACTCCTTCAAGCCCAAATGAAGGTGATTACAGTGGTACCTTGGGTTACAAATACCTCGGGTTACAAACACTTCGGGTTACAGACTCCACTAACCCGGAAGTAGTACCTCGGGTTAATAACTTTACCTCAGGATGAGAACAGAAATCGCAGTGGCGGCACGGTGGCGGCAGGAGGCCCCATTAGCTAAAGTGGTTAACCTCAGGTTAAGAACAGTTTCAGGTTAATAAGAGACCTCTGGAATGAATTTAGTTCGTAACCAGAGGTACCACTGTATTTTCTTGACAGTTCATCTAGGGAGAAAGGAATGTATAGCCTTATAGCATCATTATAGCCTTACAGACCAACAGGACACGAGGGCAACATACACACTCACAACATTGAGTTACTTATTCACATTATACCTTTTATGAGGCATGGGGATATTATTACTTCATTTGGATCCCACCCTTTCTCCAAGGAGCTCAAGATGGCATTCATAGTTTTCCCTTTCCTCATTTAATCCCCACAACAACTCTGTGAGGCAGGTTAGGCTGAGAGGCAGCAACCGGCTCAAGTTCACCCACCGGCTGAGCTTCAGGAATAAGTGGGGATTTGAACCCTGGTCTCCTAGGTTCTAGTCTAACACTCTAACCACTACACCACAGACATTCATGTCTTTATTTAAGGTTGCAGGTCCTTTGAAAAATCGTTCTTTCCGCAAGCAAGCTGGGCTCACCAATCGCTGGCAATTTCCATTCAGCCCAAGTTGTGACCTCCTGGGAATTTCACAAGCGAATAAGGCCACCCGGGTTGGTCTCAATGAGACCTTGATGAGAATGATATCAGGTATGGTCATAACTGAGAACATTGACTAACTGTTTGATTGGAAACCCTCTCTTTCTGCTTCTGCTGGATGACTGTGAAAGCTTTTGAGCTTCTTGGTAAGGGTGAAAATAGGGCACTGCTGCCATAGAAAAGTAAAGGTAATTCCACAGTGTGTCAGTTTGTCTTAAAACTATTCTACAAATCTGTAGCCTTAATCTCTTGAGCGGTCTGATTGGAATTAGCACTTCCAAACTCTTCCACTAGAGAGCGATTATGCATCTGTAAGAACTTGACTGAACAAGCCCTGTATCTTTAAGTATACAAGTGTAAGGAGAAGCACGTTTTATTATTCTGTTAATCATCTCTCTATCTTTCTTTCTTAATTGATATACATTGAAGTCTACTGTTTGTGAAAAAAAGTATGCATTGGCATACCCAGACAGACACATATTCTATATGTATGTGTGTACACATAAATTATATGTATTTGGGTGAGGTTCAGATTTTGACATCTTATTCACAGGTCCATTTTGGATTGGGCCCAAATCCTCTGTAATTTGCAGAAATATGAAATTCCACTACTGCTGCTATGACATTCTCTGGAGTCTGAAGCCTTCTTTGCTGACTGTCTCTGACGTGGATGCCATTCTCCATAATTCTTTGCATGCTATTGCAGCTCTCACTAGAACATCCCATCCCTGCAGTTGCATTCCTTGGAAGCCTCTCTGTCATCACCCTAATTTGTGTGAAATGTGGAGCAGGCAGGGAGGCCCTGGGAGTCTCATCTACTCAGGACACAGTTCCTGGTCCAGAACAAATACCAAGGACTGGGATTAGAGGGAAGGTTCCACCTAATGCGATAGACAGGTCATGTTGAACAAACTACCCAGGAAAGACTCAAAGGCTGAGTACACACCAAACCTTTATTCACATTCAAAATGCATTGTCCCTCCAAATAATAATAATAATAATAATAATAATAATAATAATAATAATAATAATACAGTGGTGCCTTGGGTTACATACGCTTCAGGTTACATACGCTTCAGGTTACAGACTCCGCTAACCCAGAAATAGTACCTCGTGTTAAGAACTTTGCTTCAGGATGAGAACAGAAATCGTGTGGCAGCGGTGCGGCAGCAGCGGGAGGCCCCATTAGCTAAAGTGGTGCTTCAGGTTAAGAACAGTTTCAGGTTAAGAACGGACCTCTGGAACGAATTAAGTACGTAACCAGAGGTACCACTGTAATAATAATTCATTATTTATACCCCGCCCAACTGGCTGGGTTTCCCTAGCCACTCTGGGTGGCTCCCAACAGAATATTAAGAACACAATAAAACATCAAACATTAAAAACATTTCCTAAACAGGGCTGCCTTCAGCTGTCTTCTAAAAGTTACATAGTTGTTTATTTCCTTGACATCTGATAATGACACCATGTGATTGGCAAGTCACTGCCCCTGCCCACCTGTCTGATTTGGCTTTACCAATACTAATAAAAAGCCCCTGGAACCAAAAAGATTCCCCACCCCTTTTATAAAGCATTGCCTATCCATTCAGGATCACATCTCACCACAAATACCAGCTTCATCCCTAAGCACTTTTGCGTGGCTATAATGTGCTCGTGAACTACGATAATGCCTCTTGCTTGCCTGGATGAAGAGGTGGGTGGGTGGGTGTATCTAGACATCACTGACCTTTTTGTGTGTGGAATGTAGCTTACTGCACAAAAGTAAGTCATAGCTGTTGCTCCACCTCAACTTGCAACCACTTTTTGTATCTGGTCCTGCCCCTGAGGGGCATGTGGCCTTTGGGAAGTTCCTGGTGTGGGAGTGCAGCCCTTGAGCTGAAAGAGATTCCCTTCCTCTGATGTGCACTTACATGTTAGATTGCTCTAGGATCTCTAAAGATGGAAATGTCAAATATAGAAATACTATATATCTTACTATATAATAAAATTGTAAGGAGCTCGGCGGACACGTGAGCTGCACCTGGATGACAGAGGAGCAGGCAGGCGGCCCAGGCAGGCAGGTAGGCCCTTCCAACTAAACAATCCTACAATAAATTCCTAAACTCCAAGCATATCAAGCAGTTGCTTTACCTTTCCTTTTCTATATGTGAACTTTTAGTATTAATGGGTGACATCCTATGATACTTGCTTACCTGCAGAAATCCACTTGTGCAACAGGACTTCCCATTTTTCTTCTTCGCCCAACCCCAGGCCTACACCCTGTTCCCAAGGGTCTCCCAATTCTGCAAAGCAGAATTTTGGGAGTTCTGCAGGGGGAGTAGAATAAGAAGTCTCATCATTCAATTTGTACTGAACTGGACTCCACCCTGTTTATTTAAATATGTGTTAACCATATTTTGTCAAACTATTTCAGGATGGTATACAAAAGTGTGAATTAAAATACACACGCACAACATATAGACACAGTTTTAAACCAGCAAATAAAGGTAAAGGTAAAGGTACCCCTGCCCGTACGGGCCAGTCGTGTCCGACTCTAGGGTTGCGCGCCCATCTCGCTTAAGAGGCCAGGAGCCAGCGCTGTCCGGAAACACTTCCGGGTCACGTGGCCAGCGTGACGAAGCTGCTCTGGCGAGCCAGCACCAGCGCAGCACACGGAAACGCCGTTTACCTTCCCGCTATAAAGCGGTACCTATTTATCTACTTGTACTTAAGGGTGCTTTCGAACTGCTAGGTGGGCAGGAGCTGGGACCGAATGACGGGAGCTCACCCTGCCGCCGGGATTCGAACCGCCGACCATACGATCGGCAAGTCCTAGGCACTGAGGTTTTACCCACAGCGCCACCCGCGTCCCAAACCAGCAAATAACTATGATAAAAGCCAAAACCCAAACGACAGAAGACAAAACTAGAAGAAACACAAATAATCTTTGGTGTGAAAACACTAGAATGCCTGGGCAATAGGAAGGAAGGTCTCCACCTGGTGCTATAATATGAACCATTTGATACTTGCTTTCCATGGGCAAAAATACATAGCATTTTTGTTTTGTTTTGTTTCTTTAATCCTCCAGCTGACACTCCCATGTCTGTGAGTGCAGAACAAGAGGACCGGAAGGAAAATGGAGACTTTCAGAATGCGTATGATTTGAAGCATTTGCCAAGCACTCCAAAGCACAAGCATAGACCCAGGTAACTGCCAAATGCCACTGACATATTGCAACTTGGTAAACGGCCTTCAAAGTGGAATTTCCCCATTCTGTCAACCACCTGCATCTCTGCTGTAAACAAAGAAATGGTGTGCATGCATGCATGTGTTCTGGAACTTCCCCACCCCTCCACAGGCCCAACAGACACCATCTGCCCTGTGGGAAGGAAGAGGAAAGAGAGGAAGACCAGCACAGGCAGCACCAGGGGCTGCTCCATTCAACTTTTCCCTCTCCCACTAGTCAGGGTCATCTGCCTTCTGTGGGACTGGTTGTTTTGTTTTGTTTTGTGAGCGTACGAGTCTTGGTGTAGCTGTTGTGTTTCATCAATGTCGTTGGCTGCTTTGAGGACTCAAGTTTAAAAGCAGAATATAAAGCTACTAAATAAATAAATGTCCTGTCCCACCCCCCCGATACAACAGCACCAGCAAGAGCCAATAAAGTCTTATTGAGGGTGTACACTGGTGGGAGCACTGATTTGGCTCTGCTGATCTGCCAACTTCTCAATTATCTCCCTCTTCTCCCCACAAGAAAGTGGCAGTGACTCAACTGCCAGGGGGCTATGTTTGTAGTGCCTCCCTCTGCTACCTCATCCAGTACATTTCAACTTACAGCAGCGGTAGCCCAAGTGGTGCCCTTCAGATGTTGTGGACTACAATTCCCATCAGCCCCAGCCAGCATGGCCAATGGTCAGGGAAAGTGGGAGCTGGAAGGCGTACCACATTGGTCTTACAGTCTTTTTCAGGGGAAAGAAAACATTATTCATTTCAAATTCACTGAAACATGTTGATTAGCTGGCATTTTGTAACCACAGATGCAACCATTTGATATGCATGAAAACGGAACAATTCTAAGTGACTTAAATCTTGGCTTCTTGTTTCTCTTTCTCCATTGAGGGTTTCATCCCTGCACAGAACTCCGAATGAGAGCCTGTTTTCTTACACGCAAAAGATCACAGAAGGCATGGAGGCAGGTGGGTAGCACTGCTTGAGGCCCACAGGCTGCTGGAAGTGGCCTGTCATCTCCACAGAAGCAGCTCCAGTTTCACCAATCTGTCTCTCTCTCTCCCCACCCTCAGATGTAACCCTGGAGTGCTTGGGTTTCCAATGGGAACTTCATCGCATGTACTTCTTCAAATCTCAGGTCCTCTCACAGCTTCTTGCTGCGGCTGTTCAGAAATGTGACTTACAAATAACAGAAAGCAAGCCCCAAGTCGAGAAAGGTACTGGAAGCCATTCCAGAGATGTGTTTATTCAGCCATTCGGTCGATCGAGCCAGACATATAAGTCACATTTTGTGTGCGTGTGTTTGTTTAAAATATTTTTAGGCCACTTTTCTGGGCGAATGCCTGTCCAAAGTGGCTTCCAATCAAAAACAACAAACGATAAAAAGACCATGACTACAAAAATTTTAAACTGAAAACTACCACTCAGCAGCACTCCCCCTCCCTTTTTTTGTTAGAAAAACTGAGGTGGAAAGAACATAATTATGCTTATTGTGCCTTTCATGACATAAATCCCATACTAGTCTTCCTTCATTTCTCATGCTTTTGGCAGAAACCAGATGTTATAAGCAGCGTCTCTTGAATAGTCGCAAAAGCAAAGAACTCCTCAAACAGAAGAAAACGATGCCTAGAGTCACAATTGCATTGGAGGTTAATGATCCAGACGTCACTCGATTTGGTAATCTGTTTTTACTTTCGATATGGACACTAGCTACTGATAAAAACAATATAAGTTGGCCATTTTCAGTAGGTGTTAAGATTTTGCCCTGAAAGGCTACGTGAGGGGCTGAGGAAATAGGTGAGGAGTCTCATTAGGGCACCTGCCCTGCCAGGGGTGGCTCCAGATGCCTTTTGCTGACTGAGAAGGAGGAAAAGATGGCGCCCTGCTCGTTCCCACATTGGCTCTACTGAAAGCTTGAAGATTGGTGACAGAACAACATCCTCCACCATGCTGGAAAGTAGCAGGCTACTTTAGGGGGTGGGGAAGGTCACAGCTCTGTGGTCCAACAGAGGGGAAAGGACAGAGGGCTCATGAGAAATGGCTGGCCACTTCTGCCAATACCTAAACTTGTTTGGTATTACACTGCTGTTTACATTGAACAGCTTGCCTGTCATAGGGAGAGGGGGCAGGCCCACAGGTAATGCTAAGTCCATAGCACAGTATTGCCATTTCACTGTATGGGAATTCAGATCAGGGGACAAGAGGGAACCATTGCCCTGCACTTTTAAGGCTTGGTGAATTTACTGGTGTCTTTATTTGCATCTCCTGTTGATGTGAATGAAGCCTTTGCTGTTGCACTCAAGAATTTATACAACTCTGAACTCGAAGTGAATGAAGAAGATGTTCTGGGAGTCCTGGCTACTGCAGAGGTATTACAGTTCCCTAGCCTGTTCCAGAAGTAAGTAGACGTTGGCGCACCATCCTGTCATTGGCTTTAGATGTGGGGACTGGATTGTATAACAGTACAAAACACTGGCCTCCCTGCCTCATGACTTGGTTCGGTGAAATGTCGGTTTTTGTCAAGCATCTGGTGTTGTGCATCTGGAAGTCATGTACAAAGAAACATTTGCGCAGCTCAGCTGTAGGTCTGCCTACCAACTGTTTGCATAGACATTTGCTGCTCTGCAGAGCATTGTGGCACTAGTTACATCGCACAAATAAATCAGCCGAGCAGGATCTCTGGCCATTATTAGTGACTCGGGTGATGTAACAGTGTTTTGCACCTCTCTGTAGCCCAAGTTCAAAGCCAACGTTATAGCATTTCTTCTTGTCAGAATTTTCTGTGTCTCTTGGCACGACCATCCTAAATTAGGCATTATTAGAGTGAGAGAATGGTAGAAAAATGTCCTCCTGTCACCCGGCAAAAGCACAAGTTGACGCCCTTAGCCTGCCAAGAGATGTGGAATGAATCATCTGGGTTGTTGTTTTACTGGAAGAGTCTCCTATATTTTTAAAACTGCCTTTTAAAAAAAAAGAGTTCTGACTGAGCTTGACATGCAAGTCTTGGCGAACACCATTTTATCTCAGTAGCTGATGAAATCAACATATTTTTAGGACACAGTCATATTTCTTTTTCATACCCATATAGACATATCCACATAATTTGAGCATAGAATTTTCTTACAATACCCAAACACATAGCAGACAGGCAAACAAATTTCCAAAATGCTTAGCAGAGTAGCTGGAAGTAAGGAGTGTTGCCTAGGAATTACAAGATCATATAATGAATTTCACAGAATGATTTTTAATTTTGTTTCATTTTTTTGTGTTTTTATTTATTTGCAAGTCATATTGGTACCAACCCTCAGATTGTTTTAAATATAGGTCACATCCATTTTGGCCTTTTGGGGACAAACATTGCTCTTCATCAAGGGCATTGCCATATAAATAATTAAATTGTTTGGTGATTGGCCATATAAATATTTATTTTAAGATGGTCCTTTCCTACTGCACTACTTTTGGAAAAGATGCTGCTGTTTGAACTGGGTTGGGTTGGGTTGGGGGGCAGAACCCAGGTGTGGTAGCAATGATATTACTGAAGCTTTGCCCAAGAGATTGGTGAATTGCTCTCCTGCTTCTTTTTCTCGATTTCTTCTCCCCTTATGCTCACAACTCTCATTAATAGCCTTTTCTCTCTTCCTGCCTCCCAAGGTGTGTGCAGGTTATGAGAAGAAGCATTTGCCCAGCCAGTGTCTGCAGCTATTATTCTGCAGGCTGCAAGGTGAGCTGTAAACCTGATGGATTTGCATTTAGCTGAGGCTGGTGAATGTTCATGGACCTACTTGTTGCTAACATTTGCACCTCTGACATTTTCTAGAGCCCTCTGTGCATGCTTGGCGTTTCTCTGTAGCAACTGGGCTTCTGTTTTCTTGATCTCACTCCATCACCCTCTGATTGCCTCTGGGGGCAGGGCGGTGTCCAGACAACTTGCTTCTATGCATGCATTGAACACATGAATGGAGGTTTGATAGGACACTATCTGCCACACCCATTCGCTTCGACCTCTTACCAAGCGCACTGAGAGCCCCATGTTCAGTGTTCATGTAAAGGGAGGCTACATGTTTACACTGACTGTGTAGCCACTGGGGACACAATCTCTCTCTCCTCCCTCCCAGGTGCGTGGGCTGTGGCTGTCTGAACACCCCACTAGCGGCGCAGGAAGGAAGTTCTTAAAGAAATATGGCCTGTCTCCAAGACAGAAGATGATAATCTTCTGCAGAACAGTGACAGAGGAACACAACCGGGTTTGCCATTGAGTGCAGACTCAGCAGGAAAATAAGAATTTAGCATGAGACTGCTGGATCAGGCCAAAGCTCACCCAATCCAGCAATCTGTTCTTCTCACAGTGGTCATCCAGATCCCTAGGGAAGCACTTGAGATTCCCAGCAAATGACATTGCTCCTGACAGCAGCAAATCTGTACAATATGTGAATTAATCGTATTCGCACTATACTTTTTAGGTTTCCCCTAAAAACCAATACTTTTAGTACTTTTAGTTTCAATCTGCATACGATGTGTCCATTTCCAGTTTCCACCACAAGATGGTCCCAGAGTTCAGAATTTCTTTGACACTTTTCTCCCCTCCCTTGAAATCAGTATCAGCAGCCCACCTTGATCACTGAATGTGAAAGATGGATAGAGGTGAACCTTGTCGCACAGCTTGGCTCTCAGATTCACCTGCGGCAGCTGCCCCTGGAACTACTGCAGAAAGTGATCAGATCTCCAAGGTCAGAGGGACGTGCAATACTTTGTTCTATAAAAGGATGCTTTGAGGAGGCAAATCTGGACGAAGGCTTAATAAACAGGTCTTTGAAGGGTTCTGCTGTCTAGGAAGCTACAGGAAGCGGAATCACAAGTCAATTGGGTTCTTTTCATTGATGAAAATGGAGAGCAGGAGTTCTGAGGAGGGCAAATGGATACAATGCTTTCATAGCACATCAGTATATATGGGGAATAGATATGGACCTGCCAATATATATTCTGCAGGACTGCCTTCTGCCAAATACTATACACATCATAGGCATTAGTGTTTTGGGGCTTTATGTAATACTATTCATATATTTATATCCCTCCTCCCTTTCAGATTAAAAAAAAATCTATGTGGCTTTCACATTAAAATAATATAATAATATGCACACATTACAACAAGAGTTATAAAACAGCAGATAAAGCAACATAAAACTCACTCCCCCCCCAAAAAAAAATATTCCAGGAGAAATCAAAAGGTCCCCATTCAGTAGCAAAAATATAGCAGCCCATTTATAAAACTGAACCTCCCTGGATAGGTCATTTGATAGGCTAAGTGCCACTGTGGATAAGCCTCTCTGTGTGTGCTGGCTCTGGATGAGGAATTTGAACTCCCAGTTCTGGAACTCCCATCCAATAGCTTTAATGGATAAAACAGGTTGGGACATAGGCAAGGCACAGGTTACAAGGTGCAGCAGGTACACAAGAGGTATAAGCACGTGGCTAAGTGCAAGCTAAGACATTGATCCAACATGTGACGGGCTCCCTGCACCTTCCTTTTGAAGAGTAGGGCAGGCGCAACTCATAGTGCAACAAGTGGTTGGCATCTTGCGACTAGGCAAGTAAATGGGCACTCATTTGAGTGGGCTGGGTCTGCGAGGTTTGTTCATGTTGGAGTTGGCGTCTCTCTTGTCTTTGGACAGTGGTGCTGGCACTGGCTGGGCCTCCAGTTTACTCTCAGTCACCTCCACAGAAAGGGGAGGAAAGGGTTAAACCTCCCATCCACATAAATAGCTGCTGATAGATATAATTGGTTAATGTTTTTGACTGTCCACCATCCAGTCATTTCTTAAGAGGTCTATAAACAGTCATTCGCCTAATCCACCCAAGCAATAAGTTGGACAGGCCCAGGTGCTAAGCTATGTGCTGTGAACAACTGTTCTGTTCGAAATCGCAGATTTGGTGGGTGCTATTTCCTCATTCATTTTGGTAAGCAGGAATGATCAGGTGCAACCTTTGTTTGGAGAAGGAACTTTTAGTACAGAGGGAACATGCCCATCAGATGAAGGCTATTGACTCTTGTTTTTTTTTTTAATATTTTATTAAGGATTTTCTTGTTTTACAGAAGTGTAGTGCCTCGTTTTTTTTTTCTTCCATGTAACATTTTTACAAATCCATTTCATTTGTTGAGGCCTTAGGGGGAGAAGAAAAAAGAAAGAGAGAAGAAAAGGGGGGTGGAGAGAGGGAAGATGGATGGGGGTGGGGTCGGGTGGCGGTGTTTCTATTATGTTTAATGTGTGTAGAGTTTGGGGCTATTGACTCTTGTGAGCAAAGGATTTAGCAGACATGACGGTTGGTTTTCTTTGGATTCTGCCACTCCACAAGTTGTTTTTAAAATGAAACCTTATATTGACTTGACCAGAAGTTCTCTGTTTTATGGCCACTGTAATTGCTCTCTTATGAAAACCACTGTCCTAGCAGATGTGTTATGAAGCAGCAACCTAATTCCGGGGAAAGTCTTACTTAACTTGAGCAAAACAGATTGTTTTTACGCCTATGACATGTCACACTGGGAATTTATGTCTGTGACATGTCACATTGGGAGTAAGAGCCTGCCATGTGAATTAGATTTTCTGTGTGTGACCTAGCTTTGCTAGTGCATTAACGTTTTCTCACGTGGATTCAGCAGGTTTCCTGTGATTTGCAGAATGATTTCAGGTATCATTTGAATCTGCTTTAGATCTTTGGCTCACCTCTGTCCACTGTCTAGTCCTGGCTGGCAGTGGCTGCCCAGTGCAAGGTTTTCCCCCTAATGCTCATTGATGCAGTGAAGAAGGCACAATTTTCACCGATAATGGGGGAGGCTTAAATATTTTGTCTTCGCATGTTGCATTCCTGAGAACAATTGTCCCTTTTCACCTTCTGTTGTTGTTGTTGTTTTTTAAGCACACAATGTGATTGCTAATCACATAATTATTAAGGCCCAGAGATTTTGTCAGATGTGGCGATGGGGGCTTTTTCATGCAAAGCAGGTGATCTACCACTGAGCTTCTGAAATGAAGGATGTGCATTTGTCAACTACATTTGACAATGTTTCAGATGTGGCAACACTGTGCCTGCCCTTGTTCTATTCTAGTGATGGAGGTCTGGAGCTAGATAGGAGTCAAACAGTGCATATTAGCAAATACACGCCCCCCCCCCCGAAAATAAGATGTAGGGTCAGCAAAGAACGCTTGATCATCATGACAATTCAGTTGCAGTGAGCACAGATGCCAGTTCCTGTGCTGTTCTACAGGGAAGGCTATCACAGCAACATAGGAACTCAGTAAGAATGTAGCTGCTTCATACTAAGTCAAACCATTGGTCCATCCAGCGCAGTATTGTCTACAATGATTGGCAGCAACTCCCAAGGGTTTCAAAGAGGGAGCTTCTCCCAGCACAACCTGGAGATTCTGGGGTCCTGGGACCTTTTGCCCGCAGTATAGATGTACATCCACTAGGGATGGAGGAGAAATTCAGTACACATTTAAAGTCAAATCTATCAAATGTAATAATAAAAATAATAATAAATTTATACCCCACTCATCTGGCTGGGTTTCCCCAGCCACTCTGGGTGGCTCCCAATATAATAATCATAACAACAACAACAACAACAACAACAACAATATTGCGACAAAGCATCAAACATTTAAAACTTCCCTAAACAGGGCTGCCTTCAGGTGTCTTCTAAAAGTTTTCTAAAATTTGCACTTTCCAGAACAATACATGAACAGGTACCTACATGCACTTATTCAAATTTCATGAAGTTCTCCAAGCAAACAATGATTGCAAAAATGCATATATCAGTGGGAAAGTGTGTGTGGAAATGAAGATATGAGTGAAAACACATACAAAAATGCAGTCTGTTAGGGAGGATTGCTTTCAAAAAATGTATACATTACTCAAAACTGCGTATTAAAATGTGTTTATTAGGAGAAATTCACACTAAGATGCTGATGAATTTTCAAGAGGGTTTTTTTAAGGCAAATTGCTGCAAAATGTGGAACATTGATGACAAATGAGTAACAGAGAGAATCAGAACTGACAGACCTTTCCAGCCCTAGATCCCACTAGATCCCACGGTCAAGGCCATTCTTCTAGTTCCCACTTGATCACATAGCTATGGGGACATTAAATGTCTGTGGTTGGGCATTGGAGAAGATCTGTTCCTTGTTCCTGAAGGTAATCAAAATCAGATATCTGAGAGCTGTGCTATATCAAAACTGAGAGTTGATGAAGGGGTGAGAAATAAATTATTGCTGCTTTCCCACCACCATCCATTTTAGATTCTTGCTTCCGCTAAAACACTTGGTGGCTCCCAGGGGCAGCTATAAGCTCCTTGTTTTGCAGATTTATTTATAGTGTTTGGACAGAATGTCTGCTTTTTGCAAAGATCCCTTTCCCAATGACTTTTAAAGAGTGCCTGCTTTTACTTCCAAAATGTTGCTGAAAGCTAGACACATTTTCCATGCTTCTTGTCTTTAAATAGACTCTTGTCTTATCTGAGCAGTTCATTAACTTTGCCCTTCTCGGAAAGCAATTAGCTTCCTCCCACAAAAGTTTTTAAGAGTTGTCCTTAAGTTTCCTCGCTGCCATGTGACTTTCTCAAAAGCTTCTGTCTAGTTAAGTAAGATTCTGCTGAACATCTTCTAGCCCCTAATCTGTAGAGAGATGAAGACAGGAAGATGCGTTTTCACTATGTTAGCTCAAAAACCAAGTAGTTTGCAAGTCAGAGGTCCAAACTGAATAGGCTGAACATCAGGTAGGCCACTGGAGAGGTAAAGGCAACACTGGCCTAAAATACAAGGTCAGGAACACAGGAACACCCAAGAAAGCCGGTGCATCATTGCATGAAACAGGAATAAACCAATAGCAGAAGTTCAGGAAACCCCAAAGGCCTGAGAAAAAACAGTGCCTCTGCAGTGACAGTGACAGTGACAGGACACACACTGTTTTGTTTCAGACGATATCTCATTCTGCAAGGGCACCTTTAATATTAATATTGTACTGATGTTTCACAATTTAACTCTTGCCCCGGCCCCAACAGAAATCTGAAATGTACGCATGAAAAACTGAGCATTTGTGTCTTTCAATACTACTGAAATGGTTGTTTTTGCCATTTTGGGGACTTGTAACTTACATGTCATGTCAAGTGTTCTGTGTGGAACTGCAGTTTAAAAATATGCCTGATGACATGCTGATCAATGCGCTAAAGTAAATTAAACTAACTTGAAGCGGTTGTATCCAGTTCTTAAAAATAAGCAAAACAGGAAAATATGGTTATCTGAGGAAAATAACTTACACTTAATATCTACACTTAAAAATAATGATGTAACTATTTGTTTAGACAAATAGAGACACCATACAAACTGGTAGTTCATAAAGATTTTGTTTTGCCTTGCAGGTTATTTACTTTCAATGAATTTCATCTCCTGCGAACTGCACTATGCTGGGTCTTCCTACAACAGAACCCCAAAATTCAGATAATTCCATCTTACGATACCGTCCTCACATATTTTAGCAGGTAATTAAATGTATTTTTAAAATCCCTACTCTACACACCTTCGCATATCAACTGTACATATTTTAAAATTTCTATAAAGTGTAAAAGCAAAATTGGTCACGGAGCAGAAAGTCTTCAGCTGCTGACACCGTCCTCCAATATGGTAAAGAAACAGCATTAAACACACACACGTATGAGGGGAAAAACCCCAAAATATAAAAATACAAATCTTCAGCACTAGAGAGTTTGAGGGCCCCTCTCAACAGTCAGTAGGATTCTGAGGAGGGATTGCAGGAGGGATTCAAGCATGTACCAGAAGTTTAGGTTTGCATAATTAGGCTGTGTAGGTACCAATCTGTTTGTAGCACGGAAATGTAGTTTTGCTCAATCTGGAATCATCTATGCTCATGTTCATCATGCTGCTTTCATTCTAGATTAATTCTAGATGCTGGCATCCACAAGGGTTGGTGTGTTTTCTGGGATACGTATTTGAAAATCCTCCCCTTGGTGAGATTATCCACCTTCCCATCACTGAGCATACCTCAGGTGAATGAAGAAGGAAGTGGTGATTGCATCATAGTACTGTATACACCCACCCACAATTTCATTGGACAGGTGTGGATACACACATTGCCCTGCTGCCTACCTCTATCTTCAAATACACCAAGATAATGCAGAATCAATCTGCAATGAACTTTTATTATTTTGTATGAAACCAGTTTCCCAAGAAGTGCTTTTCAGGGGCAAAAAGTAAGCAATAGCCCTAAATTGTGTGTGGCTTACCTAGAAAAAAACCCCCAAGAGCTTAGTCTCCTTTGATTTTAGAATAAAATGTTCTATGTGCACACCCTTAGAGTGGATGAAAACACTCTGTTGCCCTAGCCTAACAAATCCACTTAAAAAGATTTCCTCTGGTTAGGAAAGTGATGAGGAAATGCACTGAAAAGTGTGGCATGAACAGTAGTTAACAGGAAGACATATACACAAACAATTCAGAACAAATGCTCAACAAAGACCAAATACAATCTGACCTCCACATACACTTGGTCCAGGTGAATGAGGATGAATGCTCAATAAATAGGTCATCTGGGAAAACCCAGAGTACGCCTGCAGCTGATGACACTAAGCACTTCCAGGCGCCACTGTTTTTGGGTGGGATTCAATCACATATTTTGTAAACTGCTTTGAGGGTGCAGAAGGCGGTTTTGGAGAAGAAAGAGAGGAGGGGGTCAGTCAGGAGAACCAATACACCGGCTGAGGTAAGCCCCACATTCACCTTTTAGACTGAAATAATAAGCAGCAAATGGATTTCAAGCCTCCCACATGAAAATGCTTTTCATTATCTTCGTTCTTCCCGCTGTCCTCAAACAGATCTTCTTGACATTGCTGTTTTGTTGTTGTTGTTACTATTCCCATAAGACATTCTTTCCTATGAGTCATCTATCAGTATAAAGAAAATACTGTTTGGCTCAAAATGGAGCTCCCCACTTGGAATCAACCTCTCTCTCTCTCTCTCTCTCTCTCTCTCTCTCTCTCATTTCACCAGGAGATAGGAAATGAGTTGTGGGTGAATCAGTATTTACTAGTTTTACCCAAGAAATACTTTTTATATGAAAAGCTAGTGGAAAATGAGAAATTTTACGATGCACACATGTGCAAGCTGAGTGCGATGCCAGATTGGAACTACGCAGTTCACATTTAAAGTAACATGCATCGCTTTGCAACATCCTCTGTGCTGAATCATTCTGTTTTCCCAATGATTTTGCAGTCAGGAGTTGCAGAGTTAACTAGCTACACCCCCAGTTTGCACTAAATCTGTTTTAACACTCCCACTTAAATTCCCTTCAGTTTAAAATGTTTTGTCATTTACACATCTGTATTTATTTAGTTGAAGATTACTTTATGTAACCTGCTGCTATCTAGGGCATCTAGAAACAGAAAAGGAGCATGCTGCATTTGTGCATTAAGCAATACGACACACTGGAACTTGTTGGTTATCCAGTTTTCAGTGAGACCCCTTTAAACATGATGAATGGGAATCAAACCAATAGGGTGTGTTGAAACGGACAATTATTGAAATATACTTGGAGTCAAGTGTGGAGTTCATGCTCTTTATTCAGCTCATAGTAGTGAGGAGGAATGGAAGTTCCTCCAGAATGTCTGCTTTATATACATTATTTACACAATGGGCCCCATGTGATTGGCTAATTCCAGGATTCACCTGTAGGCCAATCAGGTTGCAGATTCACTTCCACCTGGAGCTGGATTGGGTGGCTCCTGTGGACCAATCAGACTGCTGCATTCTGAATCCTATTGTTCTAGGACCAATCAGACTGCTGCATTCTGAATCCTATTGTTCTAGGACCAATCAGACTGCTGCCTTTTGGATCATATTCAGCTCAGTACATAACAATTATAGTTCCCCAATCCTAAACATATTATTGGAAAGTAAGTCCTGTTGATTTCAGTGGGACTTACTTGCATCTAATGACTGCAGTTGAACACAAGAGTTATGCATGCTTTAGCACATTGGTTTCTCAGGCTGAAAGTGTGCTTATCTCTCTTTTGGATTTCAGTCAATATATAGTAGGTCTGGGAAGCCCAATCCAGCAAGTTAGTAAGTGTGACCATTTTAAATCTTTTCTTTTTTTTTAAAGGGAGCAAATCCTATGATCAGCACAGTGGTGTTTATTTATTATAATTTAACAGGTGCAAATGTTCCAAGCACAGTTTTCAGTTTGCCCAAAAATAGTCTGCTAAAGAGGATTGCTGAATCAAATCAAGGGGAATCCCTTGAGCTGGCACGTGCCTTTCCAGAAAAGAACAACAAAAGAAGCAGATGCACAAAGCTTAGCATTGTTCGGCAGCTGCACCAGAAATGAGGTAGCTTTGAGCTAGTTTAAAGCCCCTCCTCATACAGTTTACCCATGCAGCTGTAGGAGAATCTCTACAAGGCTGCCAGTTCCCAGTTACTGGCCATTGTCCAAAGAACCATACAGCTAATTCCACCAGCCAAAGGGAGCTTAAGGTTTAGGTTTCTCCAAACAGTTCATAATTGTATAAATCTGTTTGTTTGTTTGTTTGTTTGTTTGTTTGTTTGTTTGTTTGTTGTATTTATACATTCCTCTAGGAAGCTCAAGGTGGTGTACTTGGTTAACCACCTCCTCAATTTATCCTCGCAACAACCCTATGGGGGTAGGTTAGGCTGAGAGATAGTGACTGGCCCAAGGTCAGCTGGTGAGCTTCATGACTGAATGGGACTTTGATAGCTGCCCCCCCCCAAGTCCTATTCGGACACTAACCACTTAGCTCCAACCATATGAGTTTTAAGCTGCTTTCTGTGGCTGGGCTCCTCCCTTCATGTAACAGGAGTGATTTCTGCTTACTCCCCACCACACACACAAACACACAATCGATAGACACTCATGCCGTAACCCATTCCCAAATATCCCCCAATTCCTAGGGATAAATTTCAGGGGGGGAGAGGTAGGGTTCTGCAGAGGTTAAGGGAAGCTTGCTTTGTGAATGTGAACTTGGTTCAGTCACAGATGGGAAGTGAGGTGCCAAGCAAATGTACTTAATATTGTTTAAATATTTTACCCTGTTACCTGCTGGAAGCAGTCTGTTACCTGAAGAGTGGGATGGAAATTCCTGAAATAACCTGAAATAACACTATAAAGCTGTATTTCAGTGCTCAAGCATTCCTTCACTTTTTGAGTGTTTGAACAAACTTTTGGACACTGCAAGATAATGGAGAATAGAGGCACAGTGGTATTCTAGAAGGCAAATAAGTCTTTTAAAATATGCTTAGTTCAAATAGTTCATATAAAAATATGCTTAGTTCAAATATGCTTACTCAAGAGAGTACCTTCCAATAATTAGAATGTGAATATCCCTGTGTGTTTAAGTAGTGCATCCAGCTCAAATATAATGTGCAGAGAAAACAGCAGTTTTCTGCGTAAAGTCGCTGAAAGTGATCTATTGTGTAAAGCGGAGGAAAAAACCACTTTGCAGTTCCTTTCTGCCTTTTGAAGTGAACTGCAGCAACAGGCATCTGATTCTTCTCTGACCTTTCAAAGGCAGGGTGTGGGTTGCTTCGATTTCAGAGAACTTACTTCCGGTTGCCTTGCATCTATAAAAATAAAGTATTCAAAGTATCTAGGGAGAGCAATGTTGCAAATGAACGCTGAAAAAGAAGCCAGGAGTGGAGGTGGGGCTTGAGGACTCGTTTCATTCAGAGCTTCCTTAATGAATGACTGTGATTTAGAGCTGGGTCTATTGTGGCATACCTTTGTTCTTCGGCAAAGAAATACCCATGAAAAGAAGTATACAGTAGTGAGAAAAATGTCCAGCAAAGATCCATAAACAGGAATGGGCAGAGATTTAGGCAGGATCCAAACTGTGGAACTAGTTCAATGGGCTCAAAGGGCCTTTAGGATGCAAACCTGTGCAGAATTACATGGGAGTAAGTCCTATCGAACTCAGCTTTGAGTAGACATGCTTGTGATACAGCATAGGGGGATTAGCTGTTCAAAAACAAAAACTCAAAAAATTCAAGGGGTAGAACATGCCACCTTGTGAGCCAAATTTTCCAGCTTCAGGATTCCCCCCCCCCTTTGTAATCTGCATGTGGATTTGGGGATGGGTGGTTTGTTTGTTTTTTGGCATGGCATTTCCCTCTGCCACCAAGGGTTATTATGTGTCTTCCCCAGTAGAATAAGAAAAAGCATAATGACAGAAACATTATAATTGACACTTCCCTAGGGAGATGAAGGTGGATTCTTGGGAATGGTTAATCTAGGCACTTTTAAAAACAAGGCAGCTGGACCAGTTTGTGTAAATCAACACAAAGTAAAACAGAAAACTAGCAATGACACTGGCTTGCTTCACTCATTTGGAAAAATTTGGATTGTTTATCAAATATTACCTGAGGACTCCACTTAGATCAGTGAACCCTTTTGTTTAGTCTACCAGCTCTGTGCTCCTGGCTTCCTCCTCCCTGGCAAGGATTTGGCCTCACACAGCTCCTATTTCCTATTAATCATTATATAGCCTAAATGGTTGGTTAGATATTTCCTGCTGTTAATAACGCAGTCAACCTTTGAATCAACCTCTAAGAAACCTTTCATATAACCTTTCAGAGGGTTGGGTTTTTTAGTGAATTATTCTTTGTATGTCACTCTCATATAAAACTTTGAGGTGCAAAACCCCCACCCCCAATTGTAGAATCATATGCTTGAATGGTGGCTACATTTGGATGTAATAATAAACTATGGTTTATCATTAAATGAGCACATCTAGGTGAACTTTGAGCTTGCACACCTCCCCTCATGTTTCACGGTGTATAATCAGACACATTTCCTTCCATTTCTAACTAACCACAGTTTATTGTTATGTCTGAACCAGGACAAACCATGATTTACTGAACCAAGCCAACCTCAAAGATTGGTTTATGAAGCTGGCTTATTTCATTAGACCATACTTACAATTGCCCACTGTACCTCAGAGTGAATGTAATGCTAAACTGTGGCTAGCTGAAAACAGAATAAAAACTCCTGAACTCTTTGCAGACTCAATGGAAAAGAGGGCAGGGGGAGGAAAAATGACTAAAGCCAGTATGTTTGTGTCTGTGGTGAGGGTGGGGGAGAAGACAGGGTAGAGTGAGTCCTGATTAAGAATAACATCAAGGTAGATGGTTGGAGAACCTACCTGGGGAAACGATTGATTGATTACTTAATTTCCATACCACTTAATATATTAAAAATATCTCTAAGCAGTGTACAAAACAGCTGAAGCAACAACAGGCACTTAAAACAAAATATTACAAAAATACACAGTTACCTATAAAAATGGTACATTAATACATAGTTATTTCTTACTGTTGCATTACCATTGGTATCTTTCATACTAGGAAATCAGTTTTGTCTTGGACAAAGCCTGAAATAAATGCATGTAGAATCTCACTTGCCTTGCATATGAGAATCGCATGCATAACTCATTGCAGTGACACATTTTGGCATTTCAGCATGTGCACAGAAACCTCACATAATAATCTATTTGCACTTGTAATGTTTGCCGATGCTTTCCATGTAGAAAATGAATAATAGCTGTAGCAATACTAAGCTTGGATAGGAAATCATGCTGGGTTTAAACAAACTTTTCTGCTCCATTGTTTTCTTTTTAGCTTACCCAAGATATGTGCCTTCCTGGAAAGGGAAGTAGGACAGCGATACATAGCTATTTTTCAGTCCCTCCGTTTACACGGCATCACTTCAAGTAAGTTTACTTTTTCTTTAGAACCTAAACATACTGTCGCAATCAGTTTTTCAAATCAAAATGCATTCCCAAATTTTGTGTGCCCCACTCCATAGGTCTGCTCTGCCCTCTTTAATATAAAATTACATATGCCTATGGCACTTTGCAAATAACAGGTTTCAGAAGTCTCTACCCCAAGAGGCTTATAATCTTAAAATAGAGAGATAGGAAGGAGCAGAGGAAGGAACTGGAAGCAGGAGTTTATAGGGGAAGAGCATGTGATTACTTCCATTACACATACTTGGGCTTAGTTGCAGTAAGACAGTTTAAATACTTGGAGGAAATGCACAAGGAATGTATGTGTGTGTGCGTGCACGCATATAACACACAGACACAAAACTACTAGTATATGCATGTATATAACTGCAAATAGAGAGTCATTTCTAACTAAGGTCTGCTTAGAGTAGACCTACTGAAATTAATTAAACTAAATTAGCCATGCACATTGGGTCTACTCTGAGTAGATGTAGCATTGGAGACCACCCATGTATCCAAAACATTCCACGCATATTTTCTTTATGTGTTTCCTCCATTCATTTCAGCAAAATCTATTGCAGCTATCTCTTTTTTGAAACAAATTCAATATTCCATGATACTAGAAATCGGGTCCTCCCTTAAAGAGGGTATGTACTGCAGTGAGACCTGGAAAACCAACACCCTGTGTTGTGGGTTGGTACGATTGGACAGCCACAACACCCAGTTGGTAGGTCCCTCGAAGCTGGGTACAATCTGGCCAATGGGACGCAGTCCAAACGGTTTGAGGGACCTATTTATGCCCATGCATGTGACCCAGAGCTTCCTCTTTCAGTGTGTGCATTCGGAACACTCGCCCACCTCTCCCTTCTTTTAGGATTTGTGCACTTGACCTTGTTATGCCATCATGTGTCGTCTGTCGTTGGGACAGGGGCACGGCCGGAATTTTCCCCACGTGGCTGATTGGCTGTTGCCATTTGGGTTTCGCCTGCCGCGTAGCAATTCGTCACAACTTATAAGGTTGCTGATAGGCTCTAGTTCAGGTGATAGGGATGGGAGAAGGTTCTCGCCTGGAGAGTTTTGGAGAACTCAAAGGCTTGCCACATTTTTGTGACATGTTGGTTGGCCCTAATAAAAGCATGAGCCAAGTGCAGACATTGAAGTTTCTACTTTCTGTTGTAATGCCTCTCACTATTTAATGCTTATCCAGCACCAACTACGTGGAAGGCACTTTTTGTACATTTTGCAATGTGAGAGGGAAAGAAGAATGGAAGCTTATTGTCATGCGCCCTTTAAAAGAAACCACATTTAACAAGAAATCTTTTTGATTCACCCACTTTGTCAGTACATTTGTTTTGGAACAATAGCTGCTTTCAATAGCAAGCCCATGTTACATTGACTTCTTTCAGCCTGAATAGACTGTGATGACATCATGCAAAGCCATTTCTGGCCATGAAACTGAAATGCATACTTTGCTATACGCAAACAGCACTGCATTCTTCGGCAGCAGTAACAAAGACGAGAGCCCAGATTAATTTCTTCCTCATTGTGCTGTGAGCATCTCAAAAAGCAGGTTAATGTAAAACCCAGCCAAATGTTGTTAAACCTGATTCTTGGCATTTGTGTCTGGCCTGCAGAAGCACAGGGAAGGAGGAATGGCACCCCTGCAAACTGTGCAAATCCCAATTGTTGAAACAATTGAGGATCTGTGCATGGTTGTCAAAAAGAAAACTTTATCTGACAGTTTTTAATTTGGGCGGAATGCTGAGCAGAAGCAGGAAGGGGCACTGTGCAGAACATATAAAGGAGAGTCAACTTGGACAAAGTAGTGATTGAACTAAGTGAATGGTGCCATAGCTAGACAGGTGGGTGGGAGATTTATACCAGGGGTAGGATTCTTTTTTCTGTTGAGGGTTTGCATTCCCATGAGGCTGGTACATTGAAGGGGCACGTGATGATGTGGTCAGGGCCAGCCCTTTCTCTGTCTTTCTGCAACCCGTTCTCTCCTGACGAATTCATCCGTTCCTCTCTCTGCTTTGACCTCACAGCTTCTTAGCTGCTCATATTCTTCAACAAGGTGTGGCCTTAAAATCCCAGCTCACATGCCTGGGCTTCCCTTTTGCATTCTTGCTGCGTCTCCCCTTTCCAAAAACTCCTCCTGCTTTTAGTGTTGTGCCTGCAAAGCCTTGCAAGTGCATCACCAATAATATCAGACTCAGCAGGTGCAGTGACATCTCTTTTCTGTTTTCTGATTACCAGAAATTTAATAATAATAATTCATTTTCCTTTCTTCTTCCCAAAGGCAGGCATCTGGAGGAACTCTGGGAAATTAACTTCCTTCCTCTGCCATGGCTGACGAGGATCTTGTCTGATCATTACCATGCAGTGAGTTGGTATGCTTACTATACTGAGCAAATGGGGGGATTTTAGTTCTTTTTAGTTCTTTTTAACTTCACAGTTTTCCTCTCTGGTATATTTTCCTAGCACCGTATTTTTTGCTCTATAAGATGCACTTTCCCCCTCCTAATAAGTAAGGGGAAATGTGTGTGCGTCTTATGAAGCGAATGCAGGCTGCACAGCTATCCCAGAAGCCAGAACAGCAAGAGGGATTGCTGCTTTTGCTGCACAGTGATCCCTCTTGCTGTTCTGGCTTCTGGGATAGCTGCGCGAAACCTCTTCAGGGCAGTGGGAGGAACGCTCCCCCTGCCCTGAAGAGGCTTTGTGTTGCTTTCTCTGAAGCCAGAACAGCAAGAGGCATCACTGTGCAGCGATCCATCTTGCTGTTCTGGCTTCTGGGATTCAAAATATTTTTTTTCTTGATTTCCTCCTCCAAAAACTAGGTGCGTCTTATGGTCTAGTGTGTCTTATAGAGAGAAAAATACAGTATGTCTATGCCTATAAAAATCCAGGCCTGCTTTGAAGTGTGTAGAGGCTTGTCATTCAGGTCGGACACTGAAAACAGATACACAGTGGAGAAGTGTACATGGCAGCATGGATCTAATTTCTAACATTGTTTACGGAAAATAATGATGAATCAATAATGATGAAGCCATGACAGTTCACACCCTGGACATCGCTTGTTAAAATGCATGCATTAAAAGCATGATGTCCCGGGTGTGAACTGTCACGGCTTCCCCCAAAGAATCCTGGAACTAGTTTGTTGAGGGAAGCTGAGGGTTGTTCAGAGACTCCGTTCCCCTCAAACAGCTACAGTTCTCAGACTGCCACACTTAACAACTTGGCCACCACATTCTGTACTAGCTCCAACCTCCGCACCATCTTCAGGGGCAGCCCCATATAGGATACATTGCAGTAGTACAGGCAGGAAGTCACCATAACATGGACAACTGAGTCCAGGCTGTCCCAGGCCAAGAAGGGTCATAGTTGATGAACCAGACTAAGCTGGGCATTGGCATCCCTGGCCACAGAATCCGCTTGATACTCCAGGGTCTAGCTGGAATCCAGGAGTATTTCCTGACAACAAGCTTGTTCCTTCAGGGGAAGTACTACAACCTCTTCAATAACAGGTTGTATACCTAATTCCTAGACATGGGAACTACCCCTGTTAGGCTAAAGCACTGAATTGGCACCTGTGTTTTATTAAAAAGAATTGAACTCATGAACTCCATATGAAGTTTTCTTTTCCTTTCAGCTAGAGAATGGTGGTGACATGGTATTTCAGAGAGACTTTAACACTCAGGCAGTGAGATTTGGTCTGGTGCTTACACAGGTAGGTCACTATTAAAACGTGAAGAATTTCTACACAGGATGGAGGGCAGGAGACCGTCTGCTGACAAAACATTTCACATAACCTAACATGATGATGGGAGGGATATGCATGAATATGAGAGAAAGAAAGAGAAAGGATTTAATATATACCGATATGCTAAAATTGGCTGAAAGATACTGTTGCTGTCAGCTCTGAAATCACTGGCCGAGATAACATTTTAAACTGTTCTTATACCATTTTTACCATTTCCTCCAATTGTTGATGTGTTTGCCATTCTGGGGTCTTTCAGGAGGAAGGGTAGTATATAAATTGATTGATTGATTGATTGATTGATTGGTTGAATGAATACAGACTGAACTTGGGGGGATGGAAAGGGGGGATTGGGGGGATGGTGGCAAGAATTAGTGAGGTGAATTTTGTCCATACCTACAGAGTACAGTAACTTGCAAGCAATGGGCAACTGTTCAGTCTTTTGCAATGTTCCCACGGTCCTTCCCCTTAGAGGTCACTAGGACAGCTGCTCTGTTGAATCCAGACTTCTCTTAATGGCCCTCTCACAATAATTACAGATCTTTTTGCTGACATAACTTTGAAATCAACTGGGATAAAGCTGCATTTTTATTTTTTTTAAAAAATAATCTCTTGGTTACTTCAGGAGCCAAGGTACCATTCAGAAATAATTTCCATTTATGGATTCTTCTTTGAGATAAAAGCAGTAAAACATGATGCTTCAGCCTACAGTTTTTACATGCAGGTAAGAAAAGCATTTCTGTGGTTCTCTCTAACTTGGGCCACCATCAATCTTTAGGGAGATGAATAAAACATTGAACTAGGCTACACCCTGAAAACAATAAATTTCCACAAGGAAGATTGTGTCACTGGCATTTTTTGCTATAAGGAGGAGGGAAATAGTGTTAAGGCTGACTTGCAAAACCAGGCAGAAGTGCTCTTGTGCAACTCCCCATTAGGGTGACCAAGGAGTATAGGGATCCCACCCCTTTAATAGTCAGGTAGACTTTAGCAGTTCAGCAGGTGTAGCTAAGACAAAGGGTATGTATATATTGCCATTCCAGCTCCACTGCACTCCCACCTCTAGTGTCTTCAACTCATATGTATCCTGCAGCTTCTTGAGAAATACTCCTGTTGGATGCTTTTTCCTCAAACCAACTTCCTTCCGACTCGCAAGTCACAGAATAGTTGAGGTGTATACAGTTCAGACAGCCATTCCACTTGTGCAGAACAACAGTTTCCTTGAACTGGAGTTCAGGGGGGTGTACAGTTGCAGGTAAACAAATCAGATAATATGGAGACACCATCACCTGCTCTCTAGTTGTGTACAGCAAATGCAACATGAAATGCACAAGGGAATGGGAGTGGCCACCTTGCTTGCCTTTGCAGCTACTAATGTGTACATACCCAAAGGAAAAACAATGGGAGCTAGGAAGACCAGTTAGGTAAAAAGAGATTGATCTACAGTGGTACCTCTGGTTATGTACTTAATTCGTTCCGGAGGTCTGTTCTTAACCTGAAACTGTTCTTAACCTGAAGCACCACTTTAGCTAATGGGGCCTCCTGCTGCTGCCGTGCCACCGGAGCACGATTTCTGTTCTCATCCTGAAGCAAAGTTCTTAACCCGAGGTAAAATTTCTGGGTTAACGGAGTCTGTAACCTGAAGCGTATGTAACCTGAAGTGTATGTAACCCAAGGTACCACTGTACCTTGAATTAGGATTTTCTTGGTGGAGGTTTTTGAGTACCTTCAGCTCACAGACGCTGACAAATAACAATTTAACTCTGTGTCATTTCAGAGAGTCAAACATGCAGATCCAATTATATCTTTTTTTACTGCCGAACGGAGTCCTGTCAGTTTAAAGGAGACACGTGAAGTTAAGTATGAAATCAAAGCACAGTGTCAGATAGATGGGAAATGGGAAGAATTCACTACGAAGAGACTTACTCAAAGGTTTGGAGTTAAGAAGCCCAGCTGTAAAAGCATGGTAAGTCAGGGAAGGGAGCACTTTGTACATTTGAAAAACAAAATTGTTACATTGACTTCCTAAATAGCATAGATAGAAACTTGAGTGCTAACTCTTGCCTCTTTCTGAATGCAGGTTTTGAAAGCATGCATACCATCGGTTCCAATCTATGTGACCTTTTCTCTTCTTTTCCCAACATCGTAAGAGACAGCAAGCACTCTCTGGGCAGCTCTGCTGAAGGACTCATTTTGACACCTAGCATATGCATAGGAGTGTTAATATCATACGTCTAAGGGCCTGCACTGGTCAGGCAGGTGATCACATTTCGCATAACAGGAGAATAAACTGCACCCTTCCCTCATGCTCAGCTCATTTAGACATTAATCCCTATTTGCATTGTACTCTTGTTTCCTGTGGCAAATGCTGCAAATAGATTGCAATTGCTTAGGTGTAGCTTCAAATTACCAATCTGGTGCCCACTAGCAAATGAAGGGCATGAACTGTTCCTCCCACATGGATGCAAACAGCCGTGTGCATGGCATTTTAGAGAGCTTTCTTTTTCCACTCTCCCCAGCTGGCCTTCAGCCAGGTGCACTACAGCACATCTAGTCGTTATTGATTTTGGGAAGCCATTAATGTTGCTCACATAAAAGTGTCAGGTAACCCCACCTAGCCTAGCCCTCATCCCATTGCACAGGCTACTGTACAAATAAAAGCAAGAGCCACCTCCATACCAGGAAACTGGAGATCAAGCACCCCAAACAATCCTAGTTTATACTTAAATTCTTCTGCCAGAATCACCAATATTGTCTAAATCCTGAGACATAATCTACCGTAAATGTATGACCTTATAGCTTTGCTCTTGCTCTATCTCAAATTGCCTGTAGAGCCCCACCAGGTAGGTGTTTTATTGTAATCTGCAATATGTTCTTGAAAACAGTAACAGTGCAATAGTGGTGGATGTATTCTGCTTTAGTTCTGTTATGCTTCTCCAGTTCTACTACATTTTCACTGTCCAGAGGGGTTGAAGAGCAACAAAAACAGGACAAGAACAAACCAGAACATTGGTGTGCTATAAAAAGTTTGAGGATATCATCAGCACGTTATGAGATGTGCACTGATTGGAAATGAAGCAGCATGACTGTCTCAAAACTTTTGCAGGTACAAACAGTGTGGAAGGTAGGGTTGCATATAGCTGCCCCAATAGCATCAGGAGCATAAGTCATCTTAAATGCACAAGAAAAGGGATTTCTGGAGGGACCTTTAGTAATGCCGGTAATGGAAGGGGGAGGCGAGGAGAGCCTGTTTATGCCCAGCCTTGCCGGTTGCCAGTTGTAACCCGAACCACACTCCTCATTAAACCCGACAACTCCCCGGTGAGGTGAATTCTGGGAGGTCAAAGCAACTGCTTCCAAAGGGACTTGGAGACACCACACCCTGCACTTCTCAGCTAAATCCATCTCTGTTTATCAGAAACAACAGGCCTAGCACCCAGGTGCCTTTCCTGCCCTGCAATTCAACACAGCCTGTTGTTTCCCCTTGGAATCCCACTCTTTCACCCACATAGTATGCTTCCAGTGGCAAGGCACATGGGAGATCACAAGAATGCTTGGCATAAACATACTTCAGACCCCAACAGTCAAATTGCATGAAGTTTTATTAAGAATAAAACAGGAAGAGAGGACAAATGAACAAAACATGATGAGGAAAATAAAAGGAGCCTGTTGGTTCAAAGTTATCCTTGCTACTTACAAACAGGCTTCTGGTTTTCTCATGAACAATGTTTCCTTTATTTTGGGTTTCTTTATGTAGTGTTCTGCTTCTTCCTTTTGTCCTCCTGATTTTTAAAATTCTAAATAAACTTCTTACCATTGGCTGTGGGGTTCATGCATGTATTTCTTCCAGACTCTCCCCACGGGAGCAAACCTGATGTTCCCCATAAGATCTCCTACCCACTACCTTTACGTGAACTGGATGGGTGTGTGACTAGGGTGGCTACCAGCCCTGCTGCCTCCTGATGTCTTTGGACTACAACTTCCAACTTTGCTGGTCAAGGGCTGATGGGAGTTGGAGCCCAACCACATCTGGAAGGCACCATGAAATGAAGGAAGGTCCTTTTAAAGTCATTCAAACAGAGGACTATCCTCTGTCACACTGCATGTGAAAGTCTGGCAGCACATCTCCTTGCCTTCGTTTGGTTGTACGGTGTGGCCAAATTGGTTCATTATTTTCATGGCTCTGAAAGTTTTCCTGGAAGCTGCTTCAATGACTGTCAAGGTCATTTTGGGAGGTGGCATCCACCCTCTTGTTCTCTGCCACCCCACACGGCATGTGTGCCTGCTTTTAACATGCCATTGCTGATACAAACAAGGACATAGTGGCAGGCCTGTTGTCTAGCCGGGGAGACGGAGAGGGAGATACAACAGCCATCTTCAAATATCTAAAGGGCTGCCACATGGAATATGGACCAAGCTTGATTTCTCCTGCTCTGGAGGGCAGGACCCAAATCAATGGCTTCGAGAAAGGAGATTCTGACTAAAACATCAGGAAGAACTCTCTGGCAAAATAAAAAAAATTGTCCAGTAGTACCTTAGAGACCTAAGGTGCTACTGGACAATTTATTTATTTATTTCAACTGTGTCAGACCAACATGGCTACCTATGTGTATCTAGAACTTTCTGGCAGTAAGAGCTGTTTGACAGTGGAACAGACTCACACGAGAGTCTGTTCTTCATTGGAGGTTTTTCAGCACACAGGCTGGATGGCCACCTGTCGTGTAGATTCCTGTACTGCAAAGGTTGGACTAGATAACCCTTCCAACTCCTCAGTTCTATGATTTTATTATTCTGCCTTGTAAGCTTGAGTTTGCCTTCCTGCGCTTCTGTGGAGTTGTTACAGAAAAATACAGAAGATTGTGGTTGGTGCTTACTCATGACCCAGCTGAATAAAGCATACTTTGTTGTAAAATATCAAAGTGTTCCTGGCCCATTAGATAAGAGCAGCAACCTCAGTTTGGAAGCTAATGTGCAGGAAGACTGAGTAAAACACACTATTTCATTTGGAGAACCATAGCTAATGGCCAATTAATACAATCCCTTACATGCAGTCAGTTGTGAGGACAGAGCACAGTTGCCTGTAAGCCTAAAAGAAGTGCAAAGGCAGTAAAATGGTTGTCCTACTGTTTAAAAGTGTGTGTGTGTGTGTGTGTGTGTGTGTGTGTGTGTGTGTGTAAGTAAGCAAGCATCCTGGGGTTCCCCGGAGAAAAGTGCAGGATATAAATTTAATAATTTATAGTTCAAGATACAGAAGTCATTTCAAGAAATCTAACCAGGAAAAAAGAAGAACTAGGAAAAACAGCATGGAATCACAAATCCTGCAAAAAACAAACAAACACACACACACAACCCAAAACCTCCATACCTGCATTGTCTACCAAATTTCAACTCTGTCCTTTAAATTTAAGCACATGCATCAAGAACAGCAAAGGTCAGAATCACAATTTGCATCTGCTAATAATACAAATACCCACAGAGTCAAAACGTGGGTGTTACAGGAAGCATAGGTCAGTATGTCAGTGTGGGTGAATATAGGAAACATGATGTAATTGCTGGCGGCTGTCAACGATATTTCTGTATTTATAAACAAACAAAGAGTTCAGTCCCAATGTCAGAGCTTCACCAAAAGAAAAGAACAAAATGGAAAAATGTCGATGTCATAAATTTATCTCTGCAGAAAGAAATCTCATTATTTCCATTATTGTTTCTATTCTTTTTCTCAGGGAAACTGTGGTGACAAAATATATATTAAGCTAATAAACTCATATACTGCCTTTTGGGGGTGTGGAAATTAAACCTTAGTCAAATTGTTGAGGCCCGCTTGGAACTAAATAGGCAGCAGTATTGGTGCAGGCTGCTTCAGCTGCTCTATAAAAGTTGAAAGTTTAAGACTGCACCTCAGGAAGGAGCGTGAATCCGGAAACGTGTTGAGTTCATTTTATTAGTTGATATTTTTGAGAACTAGTTTCTCCTTTTTGCATTCCCTTAGAAATAACTCCCACTGCAACCTCATAATGCACATTTACTGGTTGGTAAGGCCCCACTGAACACAATGGGATTTATTTCTGAATGAACATTTATAGGATCGCACCATTTAAAGTATAAAATTGTGGGCGGGGGGGGGCATATCCTTCACAACTGTTGGGGTAAACCACACCCCTTGTCTATCACCAAAATAACACTGGTAAACTGAACCATTCATTACTTCATTTTCTACATGAATCACCTTCACTGAATCATATTTGTTGCGAAAGCCAGGTGGATTTTTATAAACTTGTCGGTGTGTACTCAGATTACAATTACAACCTTATAAAGTTGATATCATAGGTAAGAACATGGCCATTTATTTAAATGTATTGCTCCTTATTTTTCAGAGGCATGTTAAGTGCCTTATAGGTTGCTTTTAATGTGAAATTTAAGAACTACCTTGTACGTTACAGAAACAGATTTTTTAAAAAAGTTTCCTTTGTTTAAAACAAATTGCATTTGTTCTTTTTCCCCCACTTCATTTTTGTTGTTGTTGTTCCCCATCAATTTCAAAGGGACAGCCACTTGATATTTGGCTGCCTGCAACTTTAGTGTTTCTCATCCAAAGGACATGAGCTTTGCAGGTATCCTAATACCATTCCATGGCACAAGTCCTGTCAAATACATGAATAATAATAATAATAATAATAATAATAATAATAATAATAGAACATCACAGTTTTGTGTAACGGAGAGTTGACACTTACTGCAGTGCTAAATTATTTGTTCTTTGAACCATTTTCACCTTCTATGCTGTTCTAATCTCTGGAGATGTACAGCAAAAGACTGTACACACATCAGAGCCTTTTAGTAGTAACAGCAGTTTTTTAAACATTGGTTGGATCATGTCCAAAGGTCATAAAATAGAATGTGCAAGTATACAGAGGAGTTGTGTTGCTGGTCACTAACTAAACCAAAAGCAAGATTTTATTGGAGCCATAATATTTGATATTCCGAACTTAAAAATGGAAAGCGTAATGTTGGTGCTCAACAAAAGAAGTTTAAAGACTGTCTCAAGGCAAATCTAAAAAAATGTAGTATAAACACCAACAATTGGGAAACATTTGCCTGCGAGTGCGCCAATTGGAGAACAGCCTTTACCAAAGGTGTCATGGGCTTTGAACTCAGGACGCAAGGGAGAAACGTGCTAAGAGGAAGGCACACTTGACCAACCCTCACCATGATCAACTCCTGCCCGGAAACCAATGTCCCCACTGTGGAAGGACGTGTGGATCCAGAACTGGCCTCCACAGTCACTTACGGACTCATTGCTAAAACCATGTTTATGGAAGACAATCTTACTCGGCTATGAGTGATTGCCAAATAAAAAGAAGAAGATGATTTGATGGTCGTGGTACTGGAAAAGTAAACACACTTTTCTGTTTCCCAAAATACTGCAGTTTCAGTGTTAGGGAAGTGGTAATGTTGCTACATGGGACGTGGGTGGCGCTGTGGGTAAAACCTCAGTGCCTAGGACTTGCCGATCGCATGGTCGGCGGTTCGAATCCCCGCGGCGGGGTGCGCTCCCGTTGTTTGGTCCCAGCTCCTGCCAACCTAGCAGTTTGAAAGCACCCCCGGGTGCAAGTAGATAAATAGGGACCGCTTACCAGCGGGAAGGTAAACGGCGTTCCGTGTGCTGCGCTGGCTCGCCAGATGCAGCTTGTCACGCTGGCCACGTGACCCGGAAGTGTCTGCGGACAGCGCTGGCTCCTGGCCTATAGAGTGAGATGAGCGCACAACCCTAGAGTCTGGCAAGACTGGCCCGTACGGGCAGGGGTACCTTTACCTTTACCTTAATGTTGCTACAAAAGAAACACTGTCTTGTAGGCAACCCCCAAACTGCAGGCAACCTGACCAATGGGATATAAATGCACATGTATCAGGCTCTGAATTGACTGTGCCCTTTGAGGGAACTTCTGAGCTAAAAGAAAGAATGGCCATAAGCAGAACTTCACTGACATGGCTATGATAAAATGACTCAAGGAAATGTCATTGTTTGAAAAGAATGGGACCTGGGGAAGCCCTTTACCTGTAATGACATGGCAACGCTCCTCCCATCCAAAACAAATAACATGGCTAAGCTGAAGGTCACAGTTGCTTGTGTGCGGATAAGCTACTATGTATACTCTTCCTACCGGAATCGTACTGTATAGAATAATAAACATTTCCGAACAACAGGAAAGGAACAAAGGGAATACAAAATTCAGAAGAACAAAAAAGTAACCAGACGAACGTCTATGTTATGGAGGAAGGAAGTGCAGTGGTGTTAGTTTATGCTTTTATCCAGTGCTTTTTATCCAGTACTCTCATTTCCTATTTATATTGAAATACTGCCCCTCAATGAAGCCAAACCTAGATTCACAAAATGTTTAGGGGTATGCGTCCACCTGCATCTCCCCAGAAAAAAAGCACTGCTAAATATGCTCCTTAGATGCATGTTGCAGCAACAGTGAATAAGCTGCTATTATTTCCTACCCCTGGTGGTACATGACACCACAAAAATAAACAAGAGCTCTTAAGAACTGGCTAGCCTGCGGGATCGAGCCAGTGCTTTGTGGCCAAAAAGAAAAGAAAACAGTGTTAGGAGTTTGTGGGTTGGGGAGTAGGCTGCATGCTGAGACCCTTCTAATTCTTGGAATAGCCAAGCTAGCTTCCTGGTGAGGTGGTGAGCCATTAGGGGAACAAAGGGAGTGGCTCTGTGTGAGGTGGCAAGTGAGTGGGCCTCCTCCCTCAGCTCACGGAGAGTTAGAAGGACAAAGCCAGAGCTGAGAGTAGGAGTGATGTGAGCTAGAAGGAAAGCAGCAAGATGAGAAGTGGGGGGGGGGAGGAAGAAATGACTGATTTCTGTCTGAATCCAAGTCTGCAGCTTTGGGCGAAGTAAGGCCGTCTTGGGATGTTAACGCTGCAAAGCCCTCCATCGCAGGCTCAGGTTGTATATATGTGTAAATAAACTATATATATCACAAAGACTTCCTCATTCCAAGGGAAACACAAACTCTGGGTAAACGCCTGGAACCCCTGGAATCTCACCCCGCTCGGAGATGGGGTGGTGTGCAACAGTATTAACATTTGTAGCTGCCCTGCAGGCTCACCTGGAGGCAAATCTGTCTTGTCACAAGCTTGAATATATTTAGGTCTCAGCATAAATATAGAGCGTTTCATCAGTTTCAGCGTCAGGCTATCTGTAATTATATTTGCAAATATTGCAAAGGACGCAATAGGCTTCCAGTGATATTCCAAAAGTAACCAAGCCGCATCACTGGAACTTCTCACGGTATATTAAAAACAGCCAGTTGCTTAGGTCCCATCACATTCCTTATATGCAGAATCACAGAAATGAAAACTGTGAGAGGGCTCAAAGGTACTCTCAGGGTGTAATCCTATGGCCCCTGGAGGATGGGGTGGAGGACCACAGGAGCCATAGAACAGAGATGTCAGAGGCTCAGTCGCTGAACCCTTTGAAGCTCTGCTGAAACCAGTGTTGGAAGTTCTGATGTCAGAAGGGTAAAAAAAACCACAACCCACATTCCATGGGTGTGCCAAGAAGCAGCTTAGATCCAAAGGTCTCCCAGTCCCTTGACACAACCCCAAATTAGGGGGAAAATTAGACACAGTTGTGTGCATATCTAAGTTTCTCCTTCTACATGTTTCCAATGATACATAAAGTTGTGGGGGGGGGGCTTAAATATTTGTCATCTCCCTTCCCCCCACCATGGGCATAGCCAGGATTTTTGTTAGGGGGGGCAGGCCTTTTGTTAGGGGGGAGGCAGAACCTCAGTTTGCTATGTATTTTTATTGATTTAGATGGGGGCAGCTGCCCCCCCTTGGCTACGCCCATGCCCCCACCATAGGGTTGAAACCTACAGCTTCAATCCAAAACACACTTCCTAGAAATCTCAGTAAGACTTGCTTCTAAGTAAACATGTCCAGTAAAAGTTGTAAATGTGTGAAATGAGGGAGGCAGCCCAGACATCCTCAACAGAAACGGAACAGTACATCCAAATCAAATCAAGTCAAATGGGAGCATTTCACAAAATGTGCACAGAAGGAATCAAAGATCAGCAGCCAGGATGGTAGCTGCCGAGACATTATTAGGCACTCTTTAGGAATCAGGATGGTGCCTTGTCAAACTTGAGTTATATGTAATCAAACTATGAAAGAGTACCACATTCTCCGTTGTGTAAATTATACAATGCAAGTTTTGCTGGCACACGACAGACATTGTGGGTGAAAGTTTCGTCACTTCTTCATGAATCATGATACACTATTAGATGGTGTGACTCTGGGACTTTTACTGAAAGATAATTTAAAACATTTGAATAATTGTGAATGCATGAAAAGCTGCTTTCTCACAGAGAAAGGAGCAAGCTCTATGACCCTTCATGGGTTTGGTAGAAAATGTTGCCATGGTAATTGCAAACCATTGTTCACAGCTGACTTCAGCATTCATTGTTGCATTCTGATTACAGCTTTTGTTTCATTATGAAGTGCGATTACTGAAAGCCTCCTTACAACAAAGATGTATTTTCATGCAAGAGCTGAGTATAGAAGAGGCCTTTTAGAGATTCCCCCCCCCTGTTTTAAGCCTGAAAAGGGGGTGGGGGGAGCCCTACTGCACAGTGGGCAATATTAAATATTCCAGAGGAAGCAAAATTAAAATTGATTGTTGTAAAAGTGGTTTTATGACACCATTGGAAAGAACAATTATTGGTCTCTCAAAGCTTTATGAGGTAATGCCTGAATTTACTAGACTTCTGACTTAAAACACAGAACAAAGGAGAGCTTTTAAAATTATATTTACTCAGACTTCTCTGCAGTTATGAACTTGTTTAAACATTGATACATTTTATTGCATCAGCTTATGCAAGAGAGCATGCAGACTCCTACCCTAACGTAATTTGGCCTAATAAATGAAAGCACTGCAACCACATGGTATCTTCTGTCCTTTGACCAACACAGTGTGCTTTGAAACATGCTCAGCAACAGTGAAAAATCTATCAGTTTTTGTGGTTCAGTTTTTATGCACTGAACTGCAAACAATGTTTATATAACCTTTGTATCGGAATCAGGAATAATGGATAAATACCAGTTATTTGATGTCAGACCTCCTATATCCCATCATGATTACAAAGCCTGTTATGGCTGGCCCAAAATATTTATCTGATTTAGTTATGTTAGTCAATATAATGACCAATATTATCTTATCTTAGTTAATGAACATGTATGTAAGGGGGATAATTATTTACTAATTTTAATTCCTACCTTTTCTCCATGGAGAGCAAGGTAGTGTACATGGTCAACACAGTCTAATCATTTATTTTATTTAAAAGAATCCTAAGCCACCTGCAAAAAATGTGAAGCAAAGTGGTGCACATGCTGCAAAAAATGAACAAATCCAATCCATATTAAATCTAAACCCAAAAACCTGACAGTTAAAAAATAATAAAACAGGAAGAGCGAGATAAATCTATCTGTATTGCATTTCTATCCTTGTGACCCATTCCACTCGCTCTCAAGACTCCACGCTTCGTTTTATTTGCAGTTTACTTTTCTTTCAATGGAGCCCAGTTACACCAATTGGCACTCTCCGCTCCCATTATTTCCTATGGACCTTCGGAGAGCTCCCATTGTCCCCAACGGGGACATTCCTGCCGTTCGTTTCAGTATGCCTCCCCCGACCCTAGTGAATACATGACAGGTCCGAGCCTGTAGCCTGAGTTCCACGGAACGAGGAATACAAATCCCAGCATGCAACGGGCTCCGAAGCGATCGCGCGACGCGGGGGAGGCGCTGGGAAGACTACACTTCCCATGATGCCTCTCGGCAAGAGAAAGCCGGGCTTTCGAAGCTCCCTTATGGAGCACGGCCTTCTTGGGACCTGTAGTCCTTCACCGACTTCAACCCCCCACCCCCATCCCAAGCTCTGGCGGCGGGAACTTGGCGCATGCGCTCTGGGCTCGCGAGAGCAGGCAGTTCCTGTAGCTCACACTGAGGTAACTAATAAAGTTTCTCCTCTGAGGAGGGAAGGAGAAGAGAGAGCGAAGGGGGAGAAAAAGAGCTCCAGCGCCGAGAGGAAAAGAGGGCGGGACCGCGCCGGGGAGCGGCTGGTCCGGCTTCGTAGGGCGCTCTGCGTTCGGGGGGCTCTCGCAGGAATTTCCGCGGATTTGAGTGAGTACCGGCCGCCTGAGGGAGAGAGCAGGGCCGAAGGAAGAAGAAGAGGGGGTATTAAAAACACGCACAAACGCCCCACTTCCCCGCTTAATGCCGCCGCCGGCTGAAAGGGGTCTCGCCTCGCCCGGAGGAAGGGAGCCCGGCGGCGAGGCGGCCTCTGTGGGGGAAGGTAGGGGGCCGCCAGGGCGGAGGCGCCTCGGAGTAGGTCGGCGGCTGTGAGGTGAAAGACGGAGGCTTGGCCCGGCGAGGGGGCTGGGGCTGCTCTGGTGGTTCGTTGAGGTGAGCAGAGTGGGGGTGGGGGTTAAACAGGTTCCGGGGCGGAAGGTGCAGGTCTGAGGGAAGATGGGAGGGGGCGTGGGAGCCCACTGGCCACGGCGAGGCAGCCTTTGCAGAGCCTGGAAGAGGCGACTGTGGGCTGGCAAGGCGGCATGTCCTCCTCCTCCTCCTCCTCCTCCCAGGGCCAGGTGCTTGTTGCCCCCCTGCAGGCGAAGCTCCTTCCTGGCTGTCGTGGTGGACCTTTGGCCTCCCGAGAGTAGGGAGCTCGGTGGCGGCGGCGGCTGCTAAGCTCTCAAGGTGGCTTTGGGGTCTGCCAGGGGCAGCGCGCCCTCTTGAATGTTGAGGGTTGGGGTCGCGCTCCCTATCCGCAGGCAGGGATATCCCGCCGGGTGTTTTAAGTAATTGGTAAATAAGAATGCTGCGGGGCAGCGTCGCGGGGTCGTTACAGTGCCTTCGTCCCCTAGAAGCGTTTGGTTGGCTACTACTGTGTGTGCAGTAGGGTCTGCTGGGATAGCCCAGTGGTTAGAGCGTGAGACTTTTAATCTCGGGGTTCAGGCCCCACGTTGGGCAAAATGATTTCTGCATTGCAGGGGGGGGTTGGACCAGAGGACTCTAGTGGTCCCTCCCAATTCTACAATTGTATGTTTCTGATTCTGTTTTTATGATCTTATGATCCAGAAAGGGCTCCTCTTGGTAGACATTTCTTTCTTTGTTTGTTTTTGGGGTGGGAAGTGCAGGTGGGGAGAGCAGCTGGCCTAGTTGCTGTGCCCTAGGAACTGCAAAGGGGACAGGATATGGTGTGTGTCGTTTGTATGTAGCATTGGATGTGCTCATGTTGAAACTGGCATGCTGAGGAGCTGAAGGACTGGTGTCATGAGGGCATCTGCGATTACCTCTTTGAAATGGATTTTCAGGAAAGGCTGCCCTCTGCTTTTGCTTAGCTCTGCAGCATGTAGCATTTTCTCTTAAATGCCTGCCTACTCTTTGACTAGGACTCCCAAAGTGACTTTTTACCCTGGGGAAAACTTGGCAGCTCATGGTATAATTAACCTGGTAAGTGTTTGAGACTATGCAACATCCCCAGCGGTCAGGGGTTGATCTTGTTACCAAGTAATTTTTGTTACTTCAGTATTCTGAGTGTGACGCTGTGGAGACTCAGATCTTATCGGTCTCGAGAATTATAGAGTGATTTGGGTTGTGGTTGAATGCTGTGCTTTTGTAAAGGATGGGTGCATGAATGCTGACAAATGTTTTCAGTGGGTTTGCAGAGTTATGCCTTTGTGTATGATGCAAACTGGAATTTTGAAGCAGCAGCTTAAAGGCAATTAGAAGAGATACTTTAATTAAAACCTTATTTGCTTTAAGTGTTGTATTTCCTTTTTGATGACTTCAAAAGCCCGCTAATACTGGGATTTCTAGCTTCATTAATATCTGTAAAGGGTTCAAAGTTCCTTATCTAGCTGTTTTGGTTTGCCAAACTTTATTTTCACTTTATCATCACAGGATAGTAATGCTTTCTGAGAAATTTGGAGATGTATATATTTTCTGTGTGCATTTATAATTCGCTCTTTACAATAGTCTCAGGATGGAGAATACGCATACACTAAAACCAACAATTAATAATATAAACTAAACAGAAAATTATAACATGGGTATATTACATGGGGAGGTTTGTACATAGATATTCCTGAAGTATCTTCTTCAAAGAAAGCGTTAATGTAATTATTGAGATTTTGACTTTTTGGGGGGGAGGGGGATGGATTGAGAATATTCTCCAGCTGTTGATGTGCTGGGATATGCATATCTGGGGTATCTAGATTGATAAGGGTAAAGGGACCCCTGACCATTAGGTCCAGTCGTGACCGACTCTGGGGTTGCTGCGCTCATCTCGTTTTATTGGCCGAGAGAGCCAGCGTACAGCTTCCGGGTCATGTGGCCAGCATGACTAAGCCGCTTCTGGTGAACCAGAGCAGCGCACGGAAATGCTGTTTACCTTCCTGCCAGAGCGGTACCTATTTATCTACTTGCACTTTGACGTGCTTTCGAACTGCTAGGTTGGTAGGAGCAGGGACCGAGCAATGGGAGCTCACCCAGTCGCAGGGATTCGAACCGCCGACCTTCTGATTGGCAAGTCCTAGGCTCTGTGGTTTAACCCACAGCGCCACCTGTGTCCCTTATCTAGATTGATACTTAGGCCTAACTTGCAATATGTGTCTATGCCAGTGGCCAATCCCCCTCTTGTGCCGTTCGATGGTTGAGTTGGAATTAGTAGCATTCTCACATTCTGAAATAGCATAGCTTAATAAGAGTACAGATAACCACAATAAAAAAATACATTTACAACTGCTCTCATATATAGGCTCTAGAATCAATGAGGCATTTTCTAGTCTTCAGGAGATTATGTAATCATTAACATTTATAATGCAGTCTATGCAATCACCTATTTTAAGTGCCTAACATCAACATAACACGCTGTGTCAGGGTGGGAATCCCCTTTCAGTCTGAGGACCATAGTTCATTCTTAGCAACCATCTGGAGGTCAGATGCCAATGCCGGGCATGGCCGGGGCAAAGTGGGCATGGCAGTGAATGTAACGTTTACCTTTGTACAGCCTGCTAGTTTCTATACACATTCCCCTCTCCAATTATTAGAGTTCATGGGCAAATTGTGGTGAGACAAAAACACTAAAGGAAGATATGAAGCAGGGCCAGTGAGGAGTGTGGTTGGGAAGGAAGTGTGGCTTGGGGAGAATCCCAAGGGCTAGAGGGCCTTATCAGCCTCCTGAGAATGAGGTTCCCCACTCCTGCATAATATTGTACCAGTTATTAAGTACTGTATACATATTTTTTATGTTTAGGGGTACTCTCATTTTCCTACTCATATTGAAATACTGCCCCTCAATGAGGCCAGACTTAGATTCACAAAATCTTTACCCCCAGAAAAAAAGCACTGGTTATACTGAGGAGAATTTAAAATGTGGCAAAATTGCTTAGTTGCCAAACCAGATGTTAAGCTGATGTGGAGGGAACTACTAACATGAGTGCAACTTTTTCTTATATGAATTGCTTTCCATTTAAGCTAGTGATTTCCAGAGATAGTATTTTGACCATCAAAGATATAATTCACAGGGGTATGTAAGGTCCAGATTTTGTTCATGCAACTTGTTGAAGTAGTAGAAATTGTGTCCCTGCTGCAAGGAAGTTCATGAAGTTTTGCAACTTGCAGAAGTAGGGCCTGTAGGCAACAATGTGTTAGTATGTAACAGTTGAAAGGGTACCTGTATTAATGGAATGATTAATTAATTGCTTCCTGGGGGAAAAGGTTCTTCTCCTAATACTTTCATTTCACATCCTCATCCATATTCACAGAATCAATGAATGTATATTTCACCAATCAGTTAATGGTTGCAAAAGTTCTGTTTCCATCCCCTTTTCTTTCAGATGGTATGTTTGTACAAAACAACTCTTCAGTTGTTTCAGTAACTCAGTATTTCACTAAGATTGACAGAGTCTTCTCTAGTGTGCTTTAGTAAAGGCACTGCAGTTGGCCTTGCAGTGGGGACCAAATGATGAATGTAGTAATCAATATGTCTATGATCATGTGTGACATCTAATCTGGAAATCAGCAGCTTGGATAAAACACTACAGGCTAGTTTTCACTGTTTCATGCTTTGTGGTGTGATGGTGCAGTTGTTTCAGTGTTGAACCAGTGCTTCTCATAGGCATATGTTGGGCTACTGTGGGTACAGGATTTTGGACTAGATGGGCCACTGCTTGATGCAACAGACTCTTATGTTTCTGTGCATAAGTATGTTTTCTCCCCATTTAGTTGTTAACCGAGGAGATTTAGACAGTGCTTGTATGTATAGAGCTTTTGGCATGCTGCAGCAACTGTAGCTATGGTTTCTACTCAATTGCTATAAGGAGAAAGTGAATTTCTGTGGAGGACTATCCTGTAAAAACACATCAAATAACCACCCAAGGAATTTATATACTTCATTACAAAGAATAGGACAGTGATGATGGAAAGATACAAAGGCTGTGACTGATACATAAATACTTATATATATATAGCACCTCCTCCCTTTATCGCTGAATTGCAGAAATAGTATTTAGATAAAAGGCCTTGTTCACAACACTTGTACTCAATTTTCAGTTTTGCAGGAATGGACAATCCACTTAATATTTTAATGTGTGAGCATCTTTCGGCCTGGAAATGAATTGGCAATCAGTGCTGCTGTTTTTTTGTTTGTTTTGAAAGGGGTTATGTGAATTCTAAATGGAGCTCCAGACAGTAATGTGGATGCTGCGGTCTGGACTAATTGAAATTTCAGTCTTTTTCAAAAGCAGCTCTATGTCAGAGTGCATAACAATAACCCAGTCTGGAAGTTATCGGAGCATGTTGATCAGCTAGCTGTAGTTGGAGATAGGCATTCCTAGTCACTGAGGCTACCTGAACATCCAGTAACAATGTTAGCTGTAGGAGTGCCCCCAAGCTATGGACCAGCTCCTTCCAGGAAATTTCAAGCCAGTCCAGAACAGGTGGTCTCCCCATATGTAAGTTTTGAGAAACTGGAACACATAAGTCTTATAAGGATTCAGCTTACTGGTCCACATGGTGCATACAACTAAAGTACAGAAGACTGGTTCCGACAGCCATCAGGTTCCAAGCATGCTGTCTTGTATATGACTATTTTCAGTGCAGGCAGAAATCCCATTATGGAGACAGTTATGCGATAAGGATTTCATTATGAACTGAATTATATGGTAGTTTGATTTTTATAAACCTGTACTTTACCATGCATTTCCTGCTATTAGAATATGAAACAGGGTTTCTTTTGTTTTAAAGGAAGGAAGTTAGTGTTGGTGCTTTTAAAAGTAGATATACTTCCTTAAGGAAGATGCAGAAACATCAGGGCTGTGTAGGTGTCTAATTTTTCAAAGACCAATATACAATCAAGGCATTTCATGGAGAGAGTAAGAATTTACAGTGGTTCTGACAGT